TCAGACACCATCATAACTCTTGCATGTGTGACAGTGGGAGTTGGCTTCCTGTGAGGAATCATCTCGAGGTTCACTAGAGCGATAGGTCACTGCACACAGTTGTCAAACACAGAGAGTTTATTCAACAAGTGACAAGTGATTGGTACATTATAAATCAAAGAATTGTAGTACATAAATGGTTAACTCATAGGCCTAGAATAATCACACAAGTATTTAGCAAATATGGGATAATAAAATTATTCTGACATTTCCCTCCTGTTTATCATATATTTGCTAACGAAAAATCAATTCATAACTACTTCTTTCGATTTTCAGTTATGATTTCATAGTCGAGCAATTATATTTTTACACTCGGAGGTAATGTTATTTTAGTCGTGTATTTCTGTGTCATGATTAAATAGAAGTGAGAGAGCCAAGGAGGAGGAGTCCCCACTGTATGAATCATCACCAGCCAACAAATGTGCTTGCACTGCCTTATCGTCAGGATATGGGGCAATTGCAGTGGTGATCAGTTTATTAAGTAATTCTCAGATGCAGGGAATACAACAACATCCACACAACGTCAATAAACCGGTGAAAATGGCTACAGAGATCAGTGCAGAGGACACAATGGACTTGTATTTTCCAAATACATCCATCCAGTCATCCCACATGGACTGGTCAACGCCAGACTGCTCTTTAAGGCACTTGTTAAGGGTCCGTAGGCCTTCAATGGTCCTAGTCAAGCTACCATCAGATGCAGTGTTGTTAGGGATGAAGGTGCAGCACTGGTCACCAAAAATCTCACACACAGATTTCTCAGCGAGGAGCATATCTAATGCGATACGATTTTGGAACATCATCAGAGAAGTTGCTGCTAATTGCTCATGCACTGCCTCAAATCCAGCCTGGGTGTAGTTGCCTAGTTTTTGAACATTATAATGGATGTAGTTAATTCGATCAACATTTTTATTTGGTGTTACTGGAAATATAGCGGACAAAATTGGGAAACTTTCAAAGCCTGAGGCTATTTGATCCACTAACTTGTACTCACTGGGGACCCCCCTCGGGACTCCTATAGCATCAATATATGTCGGGTCAGAATCTCCTTTCCATGAGGAGGATCTCTTATTTCTAGACCATGTTTTAGGTAAGATACTAGACATTTCATGTAGTAAATGTTTATCAGGGAGGAGATGTATGGTCGTGGGCAGCAAAAGGGACACTAAAGCACAGTGTCCTATCACATTTCTTGGCAATCTATCATAAAGTTTATCTTTGCCACACCACCACCACACATCGCCTCGGGACACAGGCTGAAAGTGGTTGCTGACCTCGAAAATGTCAACACCCCAGGAGGCTGTGAGATTGTCTAAACGCACACCACTTCCAGTCATATTAATGCTTCTGCATACATTGGGTCTGTGTCTGTGCTATATGCCCATAAGCAAATTGGTAGACATGGTCATTTGGGGTCTAGGTCAGTCATGGTCAGATTTAGGCCAGTGGAAGTTTTAGTCATTTTAAAAAGTTTACGGATTTTTGCTTTGTTTTTCTAATATTTTCCTCATATAGTCTGCTAAGTTAGCTTCTTCATTAATTTCCCATTCATTCCTAAATTGAGGTATTTTGTACGTTCTTCCAAATATTATTTGGTATGGGGTTAGGCCTGTGGTACTAGTAATGTTCATATACAGTTTGACTAAATCTAAACACTGGGTCCATGGTCGCCCTGTTTCTTCCATACATTTTTTCAATCTGTTTTTAATTGTACCATTCATTCTTTCTACTAGCCCAGTGCTCTGAGGATGGTATGTGCAGTGATTTTTCAAATCGATGTGGAATAGTTTACCTATATGAGATATCAAACTCTTTACAAAATGAGTTCCATTATCACTATAGACTTTCTCTGGTATACCAAATCTTGGTATAATGTCTTTACACAGTGCTTTAGCCACAGTCAGAGCGTCAGGATTTCTAGTGGGAAATAATTCTATCCATTTGGAAAATGCATTAATTATTACTAAACAATATTTCTTTCCTTCACTTTGATTGAGCTCTATAAAATCCATATGGATTATTTCAAATGGATATTGAGCCTGTGGAAATTGTCCTCTTTTTGGTCTCAAATTTCCTTGTGAATTATGTTTAGCACAAATTAGACATGCTCTACAAAAGTTTTTTGAGTAATTATTGAATCCATAAGTCGTATAATATTTATGAACCTGTCCTACCATCCCCCCTGTTGAGACATGTGAAACATGGCTAACAATACAACAACAACAATAGCTGCAATCTTATATAGATTTCGCGGAAGGACAGGTTTAAATTGTGGTCACACATAAATTCCATCTATCACAGTTGCTCCTTTTTTAATCCATACTTGTCTTTCCCATTCAGTACTTTGCTGTTGCTTTAAGACTCAAAGCTTCCATTTTACCCATTAATTACATTGTTTGAAATTCTTCAACAATATCATTTATTTAACCCATAACCAATATATAAAAGCTACAAGCACTTTTACTCAGTACTAAATTAATAATACCAAGTTAGAAAACAAGCCAATACAAACTAGGTTAAAGTTACTCTATCATCTGAATAAAACAAGCCAACATGCTTAATTACATTTTAAACAGAACATTTTCAAACGAATCAAAAATACGGTGCCTTTAACATTTTAGCAATAGTTTAGTGTTTTATCTAAAATCAGAAGGGACCGAAATAACGGCGATTAAACGTGACCCGTATCAAATACACTTTTTATTTCAGCGGACTTTTATTTTGGCAGTCTACTTCCTGTTCGGCTGCCGCACTTTCCCCTTCCTTTAGGTACACGCGCTTTACTTCCCCTCGCTCTCAGCTGCGGCTGATGTGTTTTGTCTGTAAAAACTCTCAAAAAAGCTCTGGAATTTCTAAATAACGGCGTATTTCAACTGTCCTGTTAAGGTGAGTCTTTTGCCATTATGTGAATAACTCTTATATTAAATTTGAACGGTGTAAAGTGTCGCTAGTCTGTTTTATTCGACAAAATCTTCAATTACTCCTTTAACTACCTTTTAACTTCTTTATTGTATGTTTGTTAGACAACATTTTAATTTATAAACTCGGTCTAACTGTGATCTCTGCCTGGATATTTTTGACCAGTATTTGGAATTGACATTTTGATGAATACAAACTAAATGCATTTATCTGTCAAATGATATATTTACACATAATTTACTTAATTCAACTGAACTTTGGATCAGTACTAGGATGAATAATTAATTATCAAAAATTAATTATATACATTATACCTGGTTTATGTTTTAGTGCCATAACTCTGTATCGTTCCTTACGTATGTTACACATAGTCTTGATTTAATTCGTTCATAATGTTCATGTTAAAATAACTAAGGTACTTATTTTGAACGATATACTTATTTGTGTTTCTGGCTTCCTAGGTCAGATTTCCCACGGACTGATTCTGTGATTTGAAAAACAACCTCAACTCAACAAACTTCCAGATAATGAGCTAAGAGTCTGTGCGGTGGGACAGACTATTTGTTTTGTATTATTGGACCTGGGATTTGTACAAACTGTCTTCAAACTGTACTTTATAATAAAACAACTGAAAATTAACTACTTTTGTTCATAGACTCTAATTCATTTATTTATTTGTGACTTTAACTTTTGTGCTTTATAATCTCATAATTTATCTTTGTCTCTCATTTTACTTTTAATACATTTATAATAATCAACATTTTTGACTGCTGGTTGTTATTATAACCTGTGCTTAATTAACTTTTTATGTTTCCTATTTTAACACCCTTAGCCTGGCCTCGGAACTAACGTTACATAAAGCATAGTCAAAACTTCTCTTCCAGATATTTTTAACATGCAATATTCATTTTTCAGCTGAAGCAGTCGGGTGAATTTGTCCCTCTACCTTAGGCCTATGTTGGGTAGAGGTCCACTGCTGACCCCTTGGTGTGTTGACAAAACTTATTGGCAGGAGTTTTGTTATCTCAGAAACAGTGTATGTGGGGTAGCAGCATGTTAGGATTCTTCTGTGCCTCACACCACTGATGCCCCGTCTCCTAGCAGCGACGTATCTCTAACCTTGACGTTTGGCACAGATTCCCCGTCTGCATGCACTCTTTTGCCAACTTTATTGTTTTTATTTTGTGATGACAGTACATTACCCGTTTGTATGTTAACATCTTTATTTTTGGGTAATATAACGATATTAGCATTGTCTTTTATCACTCGCTGCGCTGGCTTAGTATTTTGGTCTGTACCAAATTTTGAAAAAGACACAGTATCACTGTGTGTAATCTTGTAATGCCAATACAGTTGACTTCATTAGTTCACTTTTTATCTTTTATATATATATTTTTTTTTGAATGCCAAATTTGCCTCTTCTGTTCAAGTTACTTTGTGATTTATTTCCCTAGGTTCAGGAAAAATCAAGTCTTGAAGTACCTTTGCTAGGAGGGCCTTTGCTGTCCATTTTAAAGGAGTTGTCATGGTTATTTGCTTCATCATAAATTAATTTATGCAGTGGGTTAATAATTTCAGCGTAGTTTGGAATCCACTGTCTGCAATAATTTGTAAGACCTAAAAATGATACAAGTTGTTTTTTATTGTATTGTATTGTATTCTGACGGTCAAGTCCTGAGCATCATGTTGTAGGGATTTACCATCAGTTCCTGAGGGATCCCAGTCACCTCTGACATGGCTCCAATTGGAGCCCAGCGCAGCCATCCAGGCCTGCTGCGTCTCAAGGCCATTTAATTTATAGGAGTCTCTGAGAGCCTCCATTTCAACACAGAACTGATGTACATCGTCTTTGTAAGGTGTAATGCCTTCTACGGCCTTCTTTACATCCTCAGCTGTCCAAGTTCTGTATACAAATATAATCTCACTCTGGTCTGCGAGTGGAGACCCCTGCCTGCGTAGACATAAGCGGTTCTAGGTCAGGGTATGTTTTGTCTGAAGTGTCGTGCCCCCCCGTAGCATAAGGCGGAGGAAGGAATGCAGCGCTTACAGAAGGGCTGTCCTTCACTGGTGTAGCCATATCATGTGGTAGTTGTTGTGCAGGTGGTTGTAGTGGGCGTCTACTAGCAACAACTGTCTCATAATCTTCTTTGTTTTGGAAAAGCATTGTATCGGCTTTCGATAGTATTTCTTTATTTTCCTGCTTTCTTTTCAGACGGCTCTCTCTTAGTCTGGCTATGTCTCTAATCAATTCTCTAACTCTCTAATGCCATTTTTGCGCATCTTCCTTTCATTATTTTTGGTTCTTTCTTTAATCTGTGCGCGCAGTGCCTCAAGGTCTGACACATTAAGTCGCCCCTCAAAATTGTATTTTGTTATCCATTTATCCAAATATTTAACGTTACTCTTGTCATTATTTTCAAGAACTTTATAATCTTTACACTTTAACCTATCTCTAGGTCTCCCTGTAGAATGTTTGTTACCCATATTAAAAGAATTTGGACCAGTCCTATCACTCCTGGGGAGGTCTCTAAGAACTGGTTTAACTTTTCTTGATTGAGATAGTGATTAAATTATCTTTGTGGTATTTCTCACTTCAACCCGTCAAGGTGGAGAAATCTTGTCTTTACATCCACAAAGACTCACTATTTCCTTTCTCAATTGATTGGTATGAGGACAACAACCTAGTGGTTATTATCTTCCAGTCACACAACCATTCACACTCAGTTTTTATTATTTTCAGTTTTTCTATTTTTATTTTTATTGATTTTCTTATTTTCTCGGCGCCAACGGAATTTAACCCTGGGAGGACTCCGGCATCCTTCACATTATCTACGGAATTTAACCCGGGACGACTCCGCCATCCTGTAGAAACGGACTTTTACTCACTAGCCTGTCAAATTACATCTAGTAGTGGGGCTCCGCCGCCCTTTCACCTATTAGAGCCTAGGATTTATAGGGTTTCTCTACGCGCAATGACCCCCAGTCACTCGCTTTTTAACAAAAGGCCTACTCACAGTCTGTTGCCTTTCTCCCTCGGTTCCCCCGTCAACCGTCAGACTCCAACCGGCGAGAAGATAACCAGCCCGGAAAGGGTATGTCACCTCGTAGCAGAGGGCCGTGGCCACGGTCTTTCTGGATTCTTAACGTCCGTTGGAGTCCTCAGGTGTGTTGGGCACCGGCATCTCCACCAAGTAAATGTTAGGTTTATCTAGACATTTAAAAACAAGAAGAAAGACAAGAGATTAATTCAGTTTTACTCATGAGGAGAACGGGCAGAGAGTGGGCATCAAAACCAACAGTCTCCACACGTTCTGATGACTCAAGGCCGTTCTCCTCCTTTTATTTCAGTAGGAGGCCCTAGTTACAGAATGATAATTCTCAAGGGGAAGGGGAAACCAGCAAAGACATAATAAGAAACTGGTAAAGCTATGCATAGTACAAACACATAAAACATGATTAACAATCAGGAGGTGCCTTAGGTATAGTCAGACACCATCATAACTCTTGCATGTGTGACAGTGGGAGTTGGCTTCATGTGAGGAATCATCTCGAGGTTCACTAGAGCGATAGGTCACTGCACACAGTTGTCAAACACAGAGAGTTTATTCAACAAGTGACAAGTGATTGGTACATTATAAATCAAAGAATTGTAGTACATAAATGGTTAACTCATAGGCCTAGAATAACACACAAGTATTTAGCAAATATGGGATAATAAAATTATTCTGACAGAGAGATATATAGATATAGATATATAGATAGATAGATAGATAGATAGATAGATAGATAGATAGATAGATAGATATACATATAGATATAGATAGATATAGATATAGATAGATATAGACATATAGATATAGATAGATATAGATAGATAGATATAGACATATAGATATAGATAGATAGATAGATAGATAGATAGATAGATAGATAGATAGATAGATAGATAGATAGATAGATAGATAGATAGATAGATAGATAGATAGATATCTGGACTTGGGTAGTAAAGAAAAAAAAAAAAAATGTTATATTTTTTATTCAAATCCTCAAAGTTGTCACCTTTTGCCTAGTTGACAGTGATCAAACCCTTGGCCTTCTCTCAGTGAGCTCCATGATGAATTCACTTGAAATGGTTTATGGCTTTCACTTCCTTTTTTGTAAGTGCTCTTTTGATGCCATCAGAGAGAAACTACAATATAAGCAATTATGGAGATAACTTTTAACTGGTAGTGTATGTGATAAGGAACAATTATTACAGTTTTTCTCCATTGGTTGGTCTAATTTCTTGAAACAGTAATTACATTCTTAAAACAGTAAGATCATATGGCCAAACAGTGTGATAATTCTGCACAACATTACAGCTCACTAGCAAAAGCTCATATCTCTCCCAAAACTGTTACACCTGCTTCAAAGCAGATTCCTTTCCCATATAAAGTGTCAGTGCCATCAAAATTGCAAAGATCCTTCTCAACTGCTTTGGCTCTTTTGCATTCACTTGGTGCTTTTGCCAAAATAATCTGGATCACCTGCAAAAGCTCAAATCTCTGCCAAAACAGTTTACCCATGTGTCAAAACTAAACTCCTTTCTCATAGAAATAGTCAGTGTCCCCAAAATGCATCATCCCTTTGGCCTTGTGTCAACACTGCAGGTCAAAATGCTTAGATGTTTTGTCACTATGGTAGTGGTCAAAATAACATAATACAATTATGGATAAAACTGAAAAAAGGATTTCACAGTAAGAGCAGCCTCCAAATTTGACATCACAGACACTGCACTCACACTGCCAACGAAACTCTAAACATTGTTTTTACACACATAAAGTAACTTCCATACATCAGAGTAGATAAAAAGAAAATGTATACAGTATTCTGTATATGTTCCCTGGTCCCTGGTCCCACTGTGTGAACTACAAATGGAGTATTTTGCAGTGCGCCCATGTCGGTGTTACAGTTCTCTGTGTGATCATGTCAAGATTTGATTTGTTTACACTGGTGTTTAAATATTTGCGCCACCCTCAGCCCACATCAGGTATATGCACGCCAAGATGTTTTATCATTTGTATGTGACGTATCGTTTCATTTGCAGGTTCAACAAGAACAATGCCAACCCCAATCAAACTTGTGTCTAACATGACATGGCGATCAATAGGCCTACATGGCTCCAGAATAAAGTAAATGAATGGTTGCCATTATAATTGAATATACGACTATAAGTTGTTTGGTGTCCTTTAATGACTATGATAAACAGGCTATAAAAATATGAGTAAGAGGGTGTATTGGCCTCGAACTCATGTCACCCGTGAAGAAAATAACAAGTCTGTTCGTCTATGCTACGTTAACATATCGAACGATCAGATCAGCACCTATATCTGTCATGCACGTTACAGTCACATTGGAAGCATGTTACAGTTTTTCTCCATTGGTTTGGCTCATTTCTTGTACCAGAAATGACATTCTCAAAACAACATGGACAAATCTCCAAACTACCTTGCAATTGTTCATAACAGAGTGGCATTTCTCATTGATTTAATCAAACTGCAATTGTCTTTGTACATGTCTCAAGTGTGTCAGTGCATCTTTGCAAATGGTTTTATACCAGTTGCCTACAGTTAACACAATGAGCCCACATTTAGCACATTTTCCAAATAAATAGTTGATTCTCAATGTGATGGTTGTTCTTTCCAAAACATATCAGCATGATTTCAATGTCTGAGTTATCATATGCACAATAGTCTGTTCTGTTGTCAAAATTAGTCAAGAACATGATACCATGAATACCATACATGAATTTTTGTGGAAGATTTGATAAATTCATGACAGTATTTGAGAGTCACGTGAAATTAGAACTTCTTATCACACTATGTGGTCATGTGGGACAGTGTGAATATCCACTGTGGTTCACTCCCCTTCCAAGGATGCTCATGGTGCTACTACCACCGTAGTGAAATCTTTTTTGTTTTGTTTTCACTTTTATCCATAATTGTATTATGTTATTTAGACCACTGCCATAGTGACAAAACGTCTAGGCATTTTGACCTGCAGTGCTGACACAAGGCCAAAGTGATGATGCATTTTGGGGACACTGACTCTTTATATGAGAAAGAATTTAGCTTTGACACATGGGTAAACTGTTATGGCAGAGATTTGAGCTTTTGCAGGTGATCCATGGTGTTGTGCTGGACCATCCAGATTATTTTGGCAAAAGCACCAAGTGAATGCAAAAGAGCCAAAGCAATTGAGAAGGATCTTTGCAATTTTGATGGCACTGACACTTTATATGGGAAAGGAATCTGCTTTGAAGCAGGTGTAACAGTTTTGGGAGAGATATGAGCTTTTGCTAGTGAGCTGTAATGTTGTGCAGAACTATCACAGTTTGGCCATATGAGCTTATAGTTTTGTTACGGGTCCGGTCTAGGGGGCAGACCCGCACAGAAGAATAGTCTGAATAACAGGAAAAATAAAGACAAAGGGCAGTGAGTTTTGGTTCAGTGCAGCCTCGCTTCATTGTTTGAAACTACAAAATAATCAAATTACATTTCTGTAAATGTATCAATAATTTGGTGTTTTTACAATATATGTTCTAACCTCACTCTATCACATATACTGTCTAATCACCAAAACAACATATATGTACTGAAATGCATGAACATCTGCACATATCTGTACAATAACAATATCTGTTTCCTACTTGGGAACCAACTGAAATAATATTCACAATTTTACAGATCAGCTTACACAGATACACATTTTGTAATTACAATAACAATTTTAACTTGATATATTAACAATACAACACAGTCCGGGATACTACATGCTTATTACAAGAGAGTTCAAGTTGCAGAGGGACGCTGCCATTACAAAACCTCGTGTTCGCATTGCGGTGACTAGCAGAGCTTCTAATAGTCCGGTTCCTTATATTCATTTTTTTATTTTAGTGGGAATTTTTGGGGGATTTGCTAAACTATATATTTTTTGGAAAGGTTATAGTATGTGGAGTCAGAAAATCAATGTTTGCATTTGCCCAGATGTCTATATGGCGACAATATTGAATAAAAAAAAAACCCAACAAACTACAACAAACTAATGTGATCTACTTTAATAAAACCTAGTGCTGTCATGCGATTTAAAAAATTTAGATTAATTAATTATGATCTGTAATTAATTAATCTAATTAATCTCTTTTTAATTTCACCTAAAAATTGCTGAGAAAAGCCTTCAATTTAAGGTATTTTCATTTAAATTCATTATTACATAATTGTGGCAGATCAAAAGACAAAAAAGGCATTTATTGTTTAACAAACTTTAACAGATGCAGTCACTTACATTCCACAGTATCATCCTTATTATTACTATTACTAATCTGCAGTGTTGGGAAGGTTACTTTTAAAATGTATTCCCCTACAGATTACAGATTACATATCCCAAAATATAGTTTGTAACTTAATCCATTTAATTACTTAAAGTGAGTAACGTAATTTGAATACTTTGGATAACTTGATATTGTCATACTTTTTAAAACTACATGAATGTAGCAACCGCATCCTGCAAATGTTGTTCTTGTTTGTTCTCTTCAAATTGGCTGTTGAGCCCAAGTCTCCATGAATAAGAAACTGTTTGTTGTAAAGTAGCAAAGACGAGGAAATCTGAACATAATAACTTTTGTCTACTTAAAGACAATAAAAAGTCCAGTCTTTCCTTAACCATATTAAAAATATTATTGATAGAGAAATATATATGAGATCACTGGTTTTAGTCCTAGTTTAGTCCTGGAATGGGTTAGTCCTGGTATTAGTTCTGGTTTAGTCCTGGTTTAGTCCTGGTTTAGACCTGGTTTAGACCTGGTTTAGTCCTGGACTGGGTTAGTCCCAGTTTTAGTCTTGGTGTTAGTTCTGGTTTAGAGGCGCACAGGAGGAAGCGCAGTTTACGCAGCGTACGAGACGGCGGTGTCCACGCAGTAACTACGGAAGGAAACGTGGTCCGCGCGTTCTCAGGTTAATGACGATGATGAAGGTGTGTGTTTGTGTTGTGTGTGTTTGTGTGTGTTTGTGTGTGTTTGTGTGTGTTTGTGTTTGTGTGCGTGTCCCCTCATGTGGCAGGTCACTATAGGACAGTAGTGCAGACATCATGAGCCTATGCAGGTTGTTTTCACCAGTGACATTTAAGTTGTAGGCGATTTTATATTTGTTATTTTCTTTTATATTTCATGTCGGGAGAATAATTTCCAAGACACGAATGCGTTTTTACCTGTTCTACTGGCTCTTCGACCATTGTGTGACTGACGCCGCCAACGTTAACATGAGGTTTACATCACTCTTACTGCGCGCGTCTTGTGTGGGTTTCCGGCAATGAGTGGAATTACCGAAATAAAAAAAATTATAAATGTGTTTTTTTTGTGTGTGTGTGTTGTTGTCCCAACAACACATAAAAACAGATTTTATAATAAAGCAAATCGCATACAGAAACAGTAAAGTTAGAGATTAAAAATGAGATTAACGCGATTAAAAAACATAACGCGCTAAATATGACGGTAATTAATTAATCGCAATTAACGCGATAATTTGACACCCCTAATAAAACCACTCATATATCAGCTCTAAACAATCAAAATAATATACAGTTCTCTTGTATGTACTTTTTGTAAGTGTTTCACATTAGATTACCTGAATAACAGGAAAAATAAAGAAAACGGGCAGTGAATTTTGGTTCAGTGCAGCCTCGCTTCATTGTATGAAGGGGAGCGGCACAAAACGTTTCAAGAAGGGCCGTGGCTGGAGACCCGCAACTGACTCACTTCACTGCCACCTTCTGGCGCACCCCAGTAATGCAAGAGTATCTTAAAATTAAACAGAAACGTGAGCAAAACATTACATTGATAATTTAGTGCATTTTATCACTAAGGGACCTACTTATCAGCACAAAAACAAATAGCCAAATTATAAAATAACATAAAAATGTGACTGCACATTTTGTGTGCATCACTGTTTTAAGAATGTCATTTCTGTTTCAAGAAATCAGCCAAACCAAAGGAGAAAAACTGTAACTGGTGAAAACTACACACTTTACATTGGACAAGTTACCGCTGTTTTTAAAAGTGCGAGTCCCTGTCCTTCAACATGTGCCTCAGGTGTGCACTACAGCACTGAACTAAAGTCTGCAGAAGGGGGCATAGTGGTGTTTTAAAAGGCTGCAACACCAACTTTGCTTCCATGTCTTGATGTGACACCTGGCAGGGTGTGTTATCCTGTGACACCCACTTTGGACAATTTATTACTGTTACTAAAGCTTGATGGTAGTGGTCAGAGGAGACAATGTTGTAGACTGGCAGCCTCGCTTCCGTCAGTCTGCCCCAAGGCAGCTATGGCTACAATAGTAGCTTACCAATTGTTGTATAGTCTCAAATATCACAATAAAAAACAATATATATCAATAGAAAAACTAAAGCTTTTGAAATAAATAAATACATCAATACATCAATCAAAAGTTAATTTCAGTTCTTAATTGAAATACTTATGCTATACTTTCAGAGGCATCATGATGGTACGATCTCTTCTATTTTTGCTCTCCTTCCATTTGGCCCTTTCCCTACCCCAAACCGAGCCCCCACTTCTTTGGAATCTCCCTTTTATTTCCATATGGAACGCCCTGACTGACAAGTGCTCCCCACCACTGGACATGGCACCATTTCAGAACGTCAGCTCCCCTAGTCATCCAGGCCAATTCCTCACACTCTTCTATGAAGGCAAGCTCGGACAATACCCAAAATATGATCACACCCAAATACAACAAGAACGCTACGGAGGCTTGCCCCAAAATGGCAACTTAACTGCTCATTTGACTAAAGCTGAGATCGACATCGACAAGTACATTCCCCAGGATTCCTCACCAGGGCTGGCTGTGATTGACTGGGAAAGTTGGCGCCCCCTATGGGATCAAAACTGGTCATCGAAAAAACTTTATCAAGATGTATCTATCAAGCAAACTAGCAAAAAGGAACCAGGTTCATTCAGAAAGACTATTAATGACGTTAAAAAAGAGTTTGAAACTGCAGCAAGAAGATACATGGAAGAGACCTTGAAACTTGGTAGAAAAATGCGTCCTAATCGTAGATGGGGATTCTATCTTTTTCCTGATTGCTTTAACTATGATTGGATGAAGGATACTGACTATACAGGGAAATGCTCCAAGAAGACGCAAGTGCAGAACAACCAGATGTCATGGCTGTGGGAGGCCAGCACAGCCCTGTTTCCATCCATTTACTTGAATAAAAAACTGAGAGACTCAAAGCGTGTAGTTATGTTTGTCCAAAACCGTGTTCAGGAGGCGCTGAGGGTGGCAACTCTGCCCAATCAGAAACACTCTCTCCCGGTGTACGTCTACGCACGACCGCTCTACAGAGACCACAACAATGTCTTCCTGAGTCAGGTAAGAAAAAGGTCCTGGAGGACTAAAGGGGAGAGTGAGGGGGGAGGGGTTGTGGGGGCTGAAGGAGTAAAGGGGGAGGAGGACGCAGGGTGTATAGAGGTGAACAGTGGGGAGTTTTAGTTTTAGTTGTTTACATTTAAGTTGTTTTATTTTTGTTGCTGGTTTAAAGGGGTCATTAAAGAGAAGGGGTATTATGTTAAAATGACTTTTTGGACCTTTCTGCCATATTATAACATTCCCTCATCAAATACGCACTTGAAGAGTATTTCATCCATGCATGTTTGAGTTATCTTGTGAACTCCCCCGGGCCCTGTTTGAACCCTCCTGATTTTTAGCTGTGAGATTTTGTCCATCGCTCAGCCCACAGGCCTACATCACCCATGCTCCTGCATGACATTTTCGTAAATATACAAAAGCATGATACAAAGCAGCATTGTTTTTTCAAAACAATAAAACACAACATGGTGATCTAAATGCAATGTGTTAACAATGAATACCCAATAAAAGCCCCCTCTTTACATGGTGTAATAATAAGTGTACTTACTTTGCAATGAGCCCATGTTTGTTTCTCCAGAGTGACTTGGTGCACACAGTTGGAGAGAGTGCTGCTCTGGGGGCTGCTGGGATCGTCATGTGGGGGTCTTCAGTCGACTTTGACGACACGGTGAAAATATTCTATATGAAACTCTGAATTACAAAAATATCTTAGGAGTTCTTCACATGTTGAACATTTGGATGACTAGTCAGTTACATCACAAGTTCCTTTTTTAAGACAACCACAAAGTTTATCTAAAGTGCCAGAGTTCAGTGAAGAGTAATAAAGGTAATGTACATTTTAGACGAACTAGGACAAGTTTAATATTGTATACTGCTGTAATGTCTATTATTATGTGAAATTCTATTATCAAAGAGTGAGGATCGGAGACCGTGCTCTTCTTCTTTTGTTAGTAAGGGCGTTGAAAAGTGTTATTACTTTAAAGGGCCCATATTATTCTATTTTCTGATCTATGTTATGATGTTCTTTCCTCCTCAAAAACACCTGGAGTTATGTTTTGCTTCATTCACATGTTTAACACACGATCCTGCATATTTAGGCTGAACTCTTCTCTTAAACACAAAGCACTCTACCTTCCACCTTGTGATGTCATGTGGTGTTCCACTGTGTTTTTAAACTCCGTACACCTTTACTAGAATAAATTTAGACAATTCCAGCCCTGGAATTACCAATCTGGTCAAGTGGCTGCTAGCTTGAAAACTACCACTACTAATAATAAAGAATTACTCACTCAACATGTAAATGAAAGAAAACACAAGGTATGTTTTTGAGGAGGTAACATTATAACATGGTTTAAAAATAAGTGAAAAAATAATAATATTAATGTAAAATTGCACAACATTTATTAGTTTAATGTAATGTAATAATAAAGAATATGATATATAAAAAGTTTATTTTAAACATGACTGAATTTCTACTCTATCTCTTTTAGGTATCATGTGACTCCCTCTCCTCATACCTGTCCTCCACTCTGGGTCCGTACATTGCTAACGTCACCGCAGCGACCATCCTCTGCAGTCAGGTGCTGTGTCAGGGCAAAGGTCGCTGTGTCAGGAAGAACTTTGAGTCTGCTCACTACCTGCACCTGAGCCCCGCCCACTTCAGGGTCCTCAGGTGCAGCAGTAAGTACGTGGCAGTGGGTCTACCCTCCAGAGATGAGCTAACAGAATGGGAGGACCACTTCACCTGTCAATGCTACTACAGTCAGAGATGTGGGCCCAAACTGGTGCCTCCAAAAACCATCCAAGAGATCTGGGTTTAATGGATCCAAGGGTAAACAGCATCTCCTACTGAATCAACAAAAAAGGAATTACAATCATTTAAAATAGAACTTGAGAATCTTTAAACAACATGTCAGTGTGATCAAGATAACCACATTTGTTAATAACTCTTACGACTTTCTGTAGCCAGATGATTTGCAGAACTGACCTTTTATAGTTATTTCCCCACATCTCAGCTTACAAAGGGTTGTATCAGAAAACAGTGTAATGTGTGTCATGATTTATGTTCAGTTTGGTCTGAATATATTGAATATATTCTTTCCAGTTTAAATTCTCATCAATATTTACACCATGAAATCACATTTTTTGTCTTCTTTCAATTATGGTTCCACCCATTTCTAGTTGAACATTTGTTTACCAAATATCAAGTTTGGTTTTATTTAAATTAAGTGTTAATTATAATTGTTTGACTCAAACCATGATTTAACTTTACTAATTTCTATAGTGATTACATTTAATTTATCCAAGTTTCCCTCTATAACAGAACATATTTGTATTATCAGCAAAAAAAAAGACAACAACAAAACAAAACAAAACACAATTTTCAGACATTTTGAAACATTACATAAATCATTAATATGAAGGTGAAATAGTTTGGGGCCCAATACTGCCCCCTGGGGGACACTACAGGAAATGTTTAAGCATGATGATGTGCAGTTGTTCATCTTCACAAACTGTTACTTAGGTAATATTTGACCCAGTTTAGAGCTACTCCTCTAATACCATATCTTTCAAGTTTAATGGCTAAAATCCTGTGGTGTCTATGGTATCAAAAGATTTTTTTTTTTTCAAATTATAAATATCCCAGCAGTATGATTATTATTGTCAGTAGAATTTGTTATTTCTTGTGTTTCTGTGTCAATAATTGTCAGTGATGTGGATTGACTTTTCCTAAAATCATATTGATTATCTGTTGTTATATTGTATTTTTGAATAAATGATTCCAGTCTTGCATCAAACTATTTTTTCAAGAATTTTTGAGAATAGTGGTAAAAGAGAGATGGGTGTATAGTGTGTGAAGAGGGGAATTACCTTGGCTGTTTTCATCTCCTGGGGAAATTTATTTAATAAATCCATGGGATAGATGCAAAAACAGCACCCCCTTCTGACACAATGAAAAAGTTATCCAAGAATGATCATATATTTTCATTTTAGAATTCAATCTAATATAATAAATTATATAATGTTTTTTCATTTTTTTCTTAATATCTATTTAAAATCTTGCTTTAAATCTTCCTGTCAATAAAGGTACACAGCAAATTCAAGAGTGTTAATTCAACTCATATATTGTTAAAAAATGTTTCAGAAGAAGCGCTTCCTGGACCTCCAGAGGATAATACACAGTAGAGCCAACTCAGTGGTGCTCTTTGGGAAGGGAAGTCAGTACAAAGCTGCCAATCCCTCTTCGTGTTCAATATTTGTATAAAGGGATTCAACATCCATAGTGGCTAAAAAGGACTCTGGGCCTATGTTTTTTAGTTGCTTGATTTTTAAAAGGACGTCAGATGTGTCCTGGATATAAGCTGGGAGGGAAGGCAAGTAAGGTTTGATAAAAGCTTACCATCGGGCAAGCCATTTAGACAGAGATGCTCTGCTTATTAGAAATCCACCAAAGACTACCAAGGAACGTGTCATGTTTTGCACCAAATTCAGCCATGAGGCTTACAAAATCAAGCAAATTATCAAAAACAACTGGGACATTATTGAGAGTGATGAGACACTGAAAGAAATCTTCCCAGAGCCTCCCTTGGTTAGTTTTAAAAGAAGCCCTACTCTCCACGACAAACTGGTCCACAGCTACCAGCCACCAGCACCTAAACATACTTGGCTTGGACCTCGACCAACAGGTTCTTTTAAATGTAACAGCTGCCCCCACTGCACAAACGTATGTCAAACCAAGTCATTTCTGGACTATCATTCACAAAAAGAATACACAATAAAACATTTTATCAACTGCAAAACAACTTTTGTTATTTACAGACTTGTTTGCCCTACTTGTAAGGTATTCTATGTAGGGATGACAAAAAGACACCTACAAGACCGATTGGCTGAGCATAAATATGCTATCCGCACAGCCAATACCAATTATCCTATGGCCAGACACTTTTTGGACTTCCATGACAGTAACCCATCGAATCTACAGATACAAGGAATTGACCATATACCAGACTCGTTACGAAAAGGAAACCGGATTGCTAAACTCAAACAATGTGAAACTTATTGGATCTTTAAATTGCAGGCAACAAAATATCCTGGGCTTAATGATGATTTGGACTTCTCTGTGTTTTTATAACTGTGTGGCATTTTTTATACTGCATGGTATATTTTGTATATATTTTATTATTTTATTTTATTAAATTTTTTTGTAAATATTTCGTTTTTATATTCTCTATGATGTTCCACTGTTTTTTAACACTGCCATCTTGTGGTGTTATTAGGTGGTGTCCACAGGTGAGTCTCCACTCCTCCTCTTCCAGGTGGAGCAGCCCTATTGGTGGTTTTTTTGTATTTAATTCAAGGCAAGGCAAGGCAAGGCAAGTTTATTTGTATAGCACAATTCGTACACAAAGTAATTCAAAGTGCTTTACAGAATAAGAAATACATTAAAATCATAATAAAACAAATCAAAACATAAATAATCATGAAGATTAAAATAAAAAAGAGAGACATAAATTGGAGAGAAGAGTGTGGAATGAAAACCTTTCAGTTATTTGCACAGTTAAACAGAATGTTTTGAGTCTGGATTTTAAACAGCATCACAGAAGAGTCTGTCTCACATGTTCAGGAAGACTGTTCCAGGTTTTAGCTGCATAAACCTGAAACGCTGACTCCCCTTGTTTAGTTCTGACTTGGGCACCAGCAGGAGGCCGGTCCCTGAGGTCTCAGAGTGCGAGATGGTTCATATGACACTAACATGTCACAGATGTACTTTGGTTCGGCCATTGGAGAGACTTGTACACAAGCAGAGCTGCTTTAAAGTCTATTTTGAGGCACAGGAAGCCAGTGCAGAGACCTGAGCACAGGACTTATGTGCTCGTACTTCCTAGTTCGAGTAAGGACCGAGCTGCAGCGTTTATGTTCTAGCGTTCACAGCTCGTTTGGAGAGACCAGTGAGCAGACCATTTAGTTAACCTTGGAGACAAACACATGGATAAGTTTCTCCAAGTTGATTTAGACAGTAAACCTTGATTTTTCTATGTTTTTTAGATGTAAAAGGCTGCAGATTTTATTGACTTGATGTGGCTGTTAAAGTTCAAGTCTGTCCATTATTACCCCTGATTTCTTGCCTGATTTGAAGGTTTTAGAGAGAGAGACTGGAGGTGACTGCTGACACTGTCCCTTTGTTTCTGTGGACCAAACACTATGACTTCAGTCTTGTCAGAGTTTAGTGGAGAAAGTTGTTTTGCATCCACACACTGATCTGTTGGATGCAGTGACCAAGTGGTCCACTGGTCATAGTCTCTGCTGCCAGAGAGTAGATCTGAGTGTCATCTGCATAATTGTGGACGCAGCTTATTTGGCTAATGGCAGCATGTAGAGATTGAACAACAGGGGCCCAGGATTTGAGGCACAGGTTTTTGTATTTAATTCACATGATTTGCTCTTAGTTCTGTTTGTCCCCTGAGGAACGTCATAGGCTGAAACGCGTCGGGACTTTTTAATTTGTCCATTAAGACATGCCGTAAACTAATAAAGGCATTTTATTTTGAACCAGTGAGTGCCTTGGTTTTTTTTTTTTTTGCATCTTTGTACTGACTTCCCTTCCCAAAGAGCACCACTGAGTTGGATCTACTGTGTATTATCCTCTGGAGGTCCAGGAAGCGCTTCTTCTGAAACATTTTTTAGAATTTCCCATTGTAATACATTGAATGTAAATGGACCCAAGAGCCCCGCATGTACATAAAGTTCTGTCACTTTTTTTGATTGTTTGTTTGTTTGTTTTGTTCTCGTAACAGAATCATCAGTGGAACATTATTCACTCTAAATATGCAGTACATTTGATAACTTCATATCTCAGTAGTAAAGCATGCACAAGGCTAATGCAGTCATTTGTACACTGTACAGTCCTGGTAAATCCAAATTATTTTACAACTAACATTTTACAGTATTATAAGTAGAAAGACATTTACCAAGACATTTCAAAAGTTTTAACTTACATGTGTCCCGCTCCCAGCACAGTCCAGCTCGCATTTAAAATGGCTGCCGTCTGTAGCTCTCCCGCTGAAAACGTTACAAAAGTCCAACACTGATGTAGTGTAACATTCAAAACACACACTGTGAATCAACAACTACTCATTTTATGTCAGCATTGTGAATCAACAACTACTTATTTTACTCTACAGCACTATCATAATTGAAATAACTCTTGACTATGTTAAAACATATCTGAATTTTCTTCACTTTACTCACAATAACATCAACAACGTGAATTTAACACTTTTGAATTTGCTGTGTACCTGGTGTATTTGAACAAAATTAGTCTTGCCCCAGTATAAATATAAGCGGCTCCTGAGGTCACTATGGATTTAGATCTACAAATTGTGAGAAATATGAAAAATTATGTCATGCAAAAATTGTGTTTATTGCTGTAAATACAAAACATAGATAAAATGAAGTCATAATATACATACATGCATACATATAAGATATATTACACCGACACAGGATCAGTGAAGAATTATACGGTGTGAGTATTTACTGACAAAGGACTGACTGGCAGCTCTTGATAGTGTTGAAAAACAAACATATGACCAAGAGTGACACAACACAGTGTTCATGTTTGAAGAAAATGATTTACAATGTGGTGTTACACAGATGTGACTGCAGGACATCAAGAGGGTGATTTAAGAATGGGATTTATTACATTAAATATTCTAGTATTATTATTTTTTGATTATTTTCTTTGGTAGAATAATATTTTGGTTAATAAATCAAATGAATTTTGATATGTGATGCTCCTTCCAAGTAAATGCAGGGGGTGGATGTGTACATTTAAACACTTTATAGCATATTATTTCATACACAAATTTCTCTGTAAAACCATAAAATTTATAACCACCATTAGCTGTTTCTTGGGTATATGATGGGTATATTTATATTGTAATCACCCACTGTTCATTATAGGAGGGGGTAAGGTGTGGTGTTGATACTGGCAATTTTGACAGTCTTGTACTCCATAAATGACTGAGCTTACAGGGGCCTATAGGGAAAGACAACCAGTCCTCTATCATTAAAGTGCATTTGACAGTTTTTATGATAATCTCATTTTGACTTAATCTGGTGGGATAGTTTTACACCAATCAAGAAGCAATTTCCGATGAAAAAATATAAAAAATATGGTGTAAATTACAGGAAGTAGAGAGTTCTGTATTGGAGAGTTCCACATCACACTAAGGAGAATTCTGTCCAAAAAGTTTGTCACAATTTACATACAAGACACTAATTTTTCTCACACTTATTTCAACAAGATAAACGTGTTTTCTTTATATTTTTTTCTGTATACATTGAGAAGTTAAACCAGGCTTACTCTTGAACTGAGGGGAAATGTTTGAATATTTGCAATTTTTGAATCATATTTAGATCAAGTGTATTGAACCATAATGACGAAGCATCTGTCCCACACCTTCCCATGACTAACAACATTTGACAGCACAAAAAAATCTACTACTTCCTGTGAACTGATTACTCATTACTGCATTATATGTCCAGTACATTTCCCTTCATTAAAAAGTACTGAATTCCTGGCATGTCAGGGCAAAATCCAGTGGAAATTATTTACATGTCCACAAAGTATATTGATCCTTGCACCATCTTGAAGGCAGGGGGGGGAAGGTGGGTGCAAAAGGGTGTCAAACACAACAGCACCCACCCAATATCTCTGTCAAGAACACCCAGCGCTGACAAGTTCATGCATGTGCTTTGGCAGTAACTCAAGTCATCTTCATGCTTCAAAAACACACTCTGTAGGCACCCAAGGGAGAAGGAACGCCACATTTACAGCCAACAAGCGCGCATTTGAAGAGTGACTTTGACTAAGAACGGTTTAAGACGAACAATTTACAGGTGGGTGCTACAAAACTGTAATTATCCACTAAAGGTGCAAAGGTGTATTGGGTGTATTACAGTGCATTATGGGTGCTGTCATTGTAATGCTACTGGGGTCAACTGAGGCAGGTGAGGTTTACTTGGGGCATGTTTTACTAGACCATGCATTATTAACACATCATAAACTTTAAGAAGCCTGGAGACAAAACCATGACTGTAAAAGTTGATGTAGGAGCATGGGTGTACTTAAAACTAGTAAAAACACGATAAAAAAGCAATATTAACTTGGCTTGGCTTTTTTAGCTTTCATAATTTTTCCAGTCTTTTGTAATTGAATATTACTATGATTAGGCCAATTGTTGAATCTATTCTTGTATGTATGGCACTACTTGTGTATTGTGTTTATATGAAATCAGTTCAATTATCTGTCGCAAAGAGGCATATTTTGTGAAATAAAAAAATATAAAAAATAGTGACCTTATAAACATCTCTGTACTCTACATTTGACATTTGTACTGTACATTTATATCCCAGACTGAAGAGGAGACTCGAGGTCACAGTCTATTATCCAGTATCAAAGCACAGACAGTGAAAGTGAAGCCTCTTTCATTCCATCTCAAACATGTCAACTATTTTGGAGTCAGCTCTGTCCTTGGTGTAAAAATTGGACCATGTGTCCCAACATGTGGTGTCTGGTCCACACATGTGCAGAGGAAGGAGAATCACCCATGAATGTTTATTGAAAAGACAATTTTTTTTTTTGTTTTTTTTTTTTACATTCTAGCATCATGCTGTGACATTGTAAACTTTACTTATATTAATAACTTGCAGTTATTATGCTTCATTCTTGCTTGTTTCATTAATCCTGTGAGGAAATGACTAAATATTTCCCCCTGGTAATAGTGCAACAGGTAGAAACCAGAAATTGTCTGCAGTGTTTTTAAGTCCATGAATCAATAAACACTTTCTGAGCATTTCTGTGGTCAAACTGGTTTGACTACAACAAGTTTCATGCTTTTAAAGTATGTTTTTCATATTATGGGCTTCATTTTAAGGTCTAATAAATGACAAACAGCATGTTTAAGGACCAATGGAGACCCACATAAAACATGATGAGATCATGGTCTGCCATTTGCTTGTCTCTTGATGTTATTGACTGGCCTGAAATGTTCCACAGTATGGCATTTAACTTATTTAAACTAAGCGGGGTCTTCACTCCTCAGATCTGACCTGTAACTTGGACTGATGATATATTTCATGGAGAAAATATTAATGCCAGACTGTGGAATCTTCTAGGCAAAGCAAGAAGCTTTCTATGGATATAAGCAGGTGCCAGTCCCTTCACGTGTATTTTTGATAACTCTTTGTGTCTGTCCTCTCTAGATTCCTGTCCTCCTTCATCATGAAGAATCCCAGACATACCGCTTCCATCTTTACAATCTCATTCTTGTTGTACTGTACTCAAGCTTTGCCCAGAACTGCCCCTCCCTTAGACCCAGGTCACCCCTTCCTATTCATGTGGAATGCCCCCTCTGAGCTGTGCAAAGTCCGATTTGGGATGCCTCTGGACCTGTCCTACTTCCACCTCATCAGCAGTACTTTGAAATCCACCACGAACCAACCCATCTCCATATTCTACACCGACCGATTTGGCCTTTTCCCTTATATCAACGAAGACACCGGTGAAATGTACGACTATGGCTTACCACAGTTGGTCGATTTGAAGGAACACCGAGAACTTGCAGAAGACAATATTGAATACTACATCCCAGTCGACAAACCCGGACTAGCCATTTTGGATTTTGAAGAGTGGAGGCCGCAGTGGATTCGGAACTGGGGAAGCAAGAATATTTACAGAGAGTTTTCCATTGAAACTGTTAAGAAAAAAAATGCTTCTCTTACCGATGACGAAGCTGAAGATCGAGCCAAGATAGTATTTGAGCGTGCTGCGAAAAGATACTTCCTCAGATCGATAAATGTAGGGAAGAAGTTGAGACCCAAAAGACTATGGGGTTACTATCTGTATCCTGATTGCTATAACTATGATTACAATCAAGACATGGTGGGTTATACAGGGGAGTGTCCAGAGATTGAGCAAGAGAGAAATAATAACCTTTTGTGGCTGTGGAATGCATCTACAGCACTGTTTCCATCCATTTATTTAGAGGAGGTGTTAAGGGATTCGATGCAAGCGAGAATGTTTGTGAGGCATAGAGTAAAGGAGGCCATGAGAGTGTCTATGCTCCCAAACAGAACCTACTCCATACCAGTTTACCCCTACATACGACCTGTGTACAAGGACAGTGTGGATCAGTACATGTCTGAGGTAAGGAACACAGAAAGTGGTTCAATGTGTTATGATGTTTTTAAAGTCACAACACCACTTTCTAAAACAATTCTCTTCTTAAGTTGCCAATTAACATGATGTAGAAACAATATTATCCTCTTTGCTATATCTTATTTGTCATCTTTGATGGTTGTTGCTCGTATTGCCAGTTGGTATTTAATTTATCTATTTTAGCTACAAAAATAAGACATGAGTTTGATCAAGTATTTTGAAAGAGAATTATAGTTTTTGACCCAAAAGGTCAGGAGTAGCCTATAGATGAACATAATCTTTGTGCAGTAATTTTAGAATCTACAGTGCTGTGCATACAAGGAAAAAAGAAAAACAGGAAAAAAATAAATGAAATGACAAATAAACAAGGAGAGAACTGAGAAATGTCTGAATGGTTCAGTGAAAATTCACTGGTAATCAAACACAAATGACAATCTAGTAGAGAAAATGTAATGTCACCTGAGTCTTGAGGACATGTTCTTACCTGCTGTCATATGTGTTTGACTGTTTCAGTTTGACCTGGTGAACACGATTGGAGAGGCGGCTGCTCTGGGGGCGGCTGGAGTTGTGTCCTGGGGAGACATGAACATCACTGACAATGAGGTAAACACTGAACTGCGGTCATAGATGTTTTATGTGCTGTTCTGAGTGTCCCATTCACTCCAAATTGGTGAGTAGGTGAGACACTTCACACAGATCAGGTAGGCTACTCACCTGTAAAAGCTGCACTGAAAATGTAACTGCATGAGTCTGATCTGTACTGCCAGTATAACTTCTCCACTTTTTCTCCACAGGACTCTTGTTTTGATGCTCGCCGTCACTTGGATCAGGTGATGAACCAGTACATCCTAAACATCTCCACAGCAACGCAGCTGTGCAGTGAGGCCCTGTGCCAGAGCCGGGGCCGTTGCGTCAGGAAACAGTGGGACAGTGACCTGTACCTCCATCTGGATCACAGGAGGTATCGCATAGACAGGCAGAGGAGAGGGGGCCCTCTGGTGGTGAGAGGGAGACTGTCCCAGGACGATGTAGACTACTATGACAGGTGGTTTGACTGTATATGCTACACAGAGGAGTCCTGTAGATCTCCCATAATTCTAAACATTATCAATGAGGCTTTTGTTACAAAACCAGAAAACTCCGCAGAGGCACAGGTGACCAGTGTGTATGTACTACTGATGATAGGGCTAATGTGGAACTTTGCATGAAAAATCATATAAGCATATCTACTAAACTTGTGATTACTTTTCCTACAGCATACTTTCACTCCTTCTTTAGTCATATTTTTTTTATTGAATTAACAGTGCACCAACTTGAGTAAAGGTTTTGGTTATTTTTCCCACTGTGAGTAACTCTACAAGTGACAATCGCTATATCTTGATAATATGAAATGATTTGAACAATTGTTTTTCTTGCACTGCTCCTTGAGATATTATTTTGCATTTTTCTGTCTATCTTTTGAAATTCTATGTATAAATTCCTGCTTTGTCCTTCCAATTACATTAACTGTAATTTATAAATCAGAAGTTACGTCCCCACTGTTAAACTTAATAATATCATGGATCACTGTTTTATACTTCTACTTCAGTAATATTATTTTGAAGTAACATTACGCTTACTTTGGTACAGTTTTTGGCTTGTCTACCCACCTCTACTTGTGATTTAAAAAGCTTCCTATAAGCTGTAAAATACACTATATATTTTGTACTTTGTACTATTTCTTGATATAACTTTTGTGAATCCATTAGGTACAGTTAGTTCATATAAATGCAATATGAATTAGGAAAAACAATTCATTAGTACTTAGGCATGGGTGTGAGTTTTATTTAAAGTCTGCTGTTAGTCAATTTTGTTGTTTCTGCTTTTATTATAATCCCATGTATTGTTTTGTCGTTATTATGATTTCTTGGTTTTATATTTTATATTATTGCCTTGAACACATTCATCATAATTAAGTGTGGACTAGTGTAATATCATAGGCGCATTAGTGGTTAAATGCAAAATAAGCTGTTGTCCTCAAGGGGGCGACAAATACACAATATATATAGTGAAGTAAAGCATTGGTCTGATAGTTTCAGTGTAATCAAAAGTATTGGACAAAAGCCTCTCTAGAACAAAAGCAGCAGGTGCCCGTGTCCTCACCACATCTACCACCTGCTTGGCCATAAGTTCTCATGACTGTAACATCAAACAGGCGTACTCTATCAAATACACTGGATACTATTACAAGTCACTAATGATCAAGTTTCTGTTCAGGCTTATGGCGGGGAACAGAATAAATGATCCTGTAGAATTCCTCATATTATTGCCTTAAAAAGCCAAAGATAGTTTTTTTTATTACCCTAAATCTGCTTCAACTCTGGATCTTGAACCACAGCTTGAGAACCACCATTCTAGTCCAGCTCTATTAGAAATGTTCTGACTCAGTGACATTTTACAGTTCATTCTCATCATATTTCCATTCACAGAGTGGAATGTGTCACATACAGAAACATGGAGGAGGTGTGTGTGTGTGTACATGTGTGAGAGAGAGTATTAGTGTGTATTCATCACATTGCAGAGACTTAAATCAGTACTTCAGGGGGAACTTTTACCTTGTGGGGATTAAACACAGGATTAATAAGTGTAATGCTGTACTGTGGTAGACAAGCCAGTAATCACAATAATGGATTTGTATAGTGTCTTTCAAGACTCCTAAAGTACTTTTTGGTGAATTATTTAGTCACTTCACAGGTCGGAGAAGTGTCTTGCTAAGGACATAACACAACCTATCCAAGTACTAACCAGACCCAACCCTGCTTAGATGATGTAAGCAAGGTTCCTGTACCTATAAAGTAATGCAGTGCATCTTTAGGTAAACTGAAATTATGGTTAGGGTTAAGATGGTCCCACAAAGCATGAAAATTCAATATGTGCGTGTGCATGTGTGTATATATGTGTGTGTGTGTGTGTGTGTGTGTGTGTGTGTGTGTGTGTGTGTGTGTGTGTGTGTGTGTGTGTGTGTGTGTGTGTGTGTGAGGAGAGCACAGAGACATTTTCTGTCCTGTTCATCCATATTCAGAAGGACGTCCCATCAGCTGCTCTCTGTGGCACTGCCCCTTACACACAGAGCGCCCTGTTGTGGCTCTACTACATGAATATTTGATGTTTCCTCCAATGCAACTGAAAAATATAGATCAGCTAGACAGTAACTAAAGTTGTGTATTATTTTAACACCTCAAGAATTCTATTGTAAATAAGTTAGTTGGTTCACTTTATTTTGTTATTTCTTTGGTCAGTATGATCTCTGGCTCATCTCTAACAAAATGGGTAATCATGTCTGAAATTATGATTCAAAGTACAATCTTTTTGTCAACTTATAAAAATGAAACAATAATTAGAAGAAGCGACTAGGATCTCTGTATAAAAAAGTAAGATTATGATATATTTCCAACTTAATTAGACCATAGTCAAAGTCCAAGGAACTGATGTCTGTGGTAGAATGCTCCAGAAGTAAAAATCATCTGAAAATTATATTAAACAAATTCTTAGACTAAAATGAAAAAGTTGTTGTTAAAATTAACACTTTTGCAACTCTCAAACTGGAAATGATCCTCAAACAGGAAGTATGACATTTCCAACTTTCAACCTGCCCAGCTTTGCACCTATTTAATCAATGGAAATATTTGTGCCCTGAAGACACCAGTGTTGATTGATAGGTGAAGTAAAAGTAGTTTGGCTTTGGGCTGGGACCATAATGACTTCCTCAGATTCCAGAGCTGGTGTTTACAGAGAGAGCTTTAAACATGCACTTGTTCTGACAGACAGTGGTGCAGTATGGAGGGGGAGTTCCACTTACCACTTACATGCACGATTACATTGTCATCAGAACTTTTCAAAGTGTTCTCCATACCTTACAAAAGTGAAAAAAAATTCATGATTTATTTTCATTTGTAACAGCATGTATTACTTCTGGAAATGTCTGAAAGTATTCCAGATGGTGGGCAAGTAACTCAATTTGTGATTTATGCTTTGTAAGAACAAAATCCACTTATCATTTTTAGTCAGGGAGTGTTTACCAAAAGAAATTACTTAAGGATTAACAGTTATTGCATTGTCAAACTACAAGACAGAACTTTTCCCTACAATTACAATAATTACACATTTACATTTTTCATCTTTGACTTGACATGTCTTGGTTTAAACTCAAAATTATTGTGTCAGACAAGACTGAACTTTGTAAAGTAACTCATTTATTGCTTACAGTCAGATAGTTGTTTTGTCAGGGCCAGTTCAAGCTTGGCAGGGACTCTGTAGTGAAAACTGTTTCAGGGGCCTATATGTTACACTGGAGCTATACATTTATCAGAACATGTCATTATCCAGTCAGTTTTAAGGTTGGAAAATGCACAACTGAGTCAACAGAGATGTTCTGTTTGCACCTATCACCTATCTCCGCCTACAGAACTTTACTTATTTACAATTTTAAAAAGTCAGATTCCGGGTCATACACAATAAGTAAATAAAATATGTTACATAACCATTCAAAATGCAATGAATGAAATCCACAGATTACCAATATGTAGAGGCAGGGTCAGCAGCAAAGGATCAGTTCTACAGTTTTGAACACAAAGTCAATGGACCCATATACATTTTTGTTTTTGAGTAATACTGCAGTATACAACAGACATACACTATTCAATCAACAAAACAAACAAACCAAAAAACTTTAAGAATAATACACATCTTCATTGTTGTTGTGGGCTATATTAGGCTAAGACAATAACATTTTCACTCCATTTATTTTAGGTTTCTAGATTAAACACTCCCAAACATTCCAAACATGACTATGGTGTGTGTGTCTGCAGTGGTCCTGTGATGGGACATCCCGTTCACATCTCTCTCTCTCTCTCTCTCTCTCTCTCTCTCTCTCTCTCTCTCTCTCTCTCTCTCTCTCTATAATGTGCAATGTCTGATGGGAGCAGCCGTTCCCACACAATAAGAGCTCTATTGTCCCCTGGTCCTCGGCCTGTGCTGGGAATGGTGGACACATTTAGGTCACCGGCTGCATGGGACTGAATGCCCACCACCGCACCCACCCAACCACCAGACCCTCCTCCCTATGGTTTACCCAATACTATAATGGCAATATAGTCAGAGATGTGCCCCCAGGAAAACACCAAGCACTACTGTGAGAAAAATGAGGAAATGAGGCTGCATTCATTCATTGACAATTGTGCTATAGATGCTAACTGCTACCTGTTTTTATGTTGCCTAACTGATTTCATTTCACTTCAATTCTCTTGAGCTCAATGTTTTGACAAACATAAGTCTAGACATGATGTTACGAAGAGCGTTATTAATACTAGGCCATATGCTATATGCTAATTGTGTAATTTTATGTACTTATTTTTAAAGACAGCTTTTTTATGTGAATGACAAAAAGCTCTTCATCATTTTAACTATAGTACAGGTGGAACCATTAACCATGAATGCATGATAAGTCACTTTCTAGAAACTTTAGTATTCCTCTGCGCAGTAATGCAGGAAACAGTCTCAGTCTGTGATCTGAGCTCAGTTGTGTAGCTGCACTTTTTCTCTGAGCTCCAAACTTCACTTTCACTGCCTTCTGTCACTGTGCAAGAATCATCAGACCTTACACAAACACATGTGAGCAGGCCTCAGCCTCAATGTGACTCAGTTGGTGATGGTCCTGGAGCTCTTCAGGCTCCAGAGGGTGGGCCAAATGTTCTGTGCAGTATCACATGGTCTGATGAGAGTGCACAGTGCAGTGGAGGTGAGTAACAGGGGAAGTTTACCTGTCCCACAGTAATGCAGATGCATAAGGCGAGCTTAGGGAGAACACACACCTCCTGTGGAAGGGCAAAAGCTCGCAAAAGTGTTCAGCATAGGGTCATGGGGCCCTGATTTTAAAAGATTCAAAGTATTGAGCAGAGTATCAAGGTCACAAGACCTTAAGAAAAATTTAAAGAGGGCACTTGAGTGTGAAGAGTGCGACGTGTCTCTGTATAGGCTGAAGGTGAAAGGCACTGCCCTGGGGCCTATAGGAGAGGTAACAGTTCAGACATTTGGTGCATGAGCTTAGCTAAGGAGCCAGTGATGTAAAACTACAGTATCTGTGAGGGCAGAAGCAGAATAACAATATACAGCCAAAAATCAAGACAAAGAGTTTGATGATCAGAAATATAGTCAGAGTTAGATTACCCTATATCGAGTCGGAAAAGTCAGAGTTTTTCTGCAGAGGATGTAGCAGATAGACAGAAGACTGGAGGCTTCAGACAGAATCAGATCAGTGTCTACAAACAACACTCCATTACAGAGCACCTCAGGGCAGAGTTGAGTCTGTGAGTGACACCAAAAACAACAGGGCCCAAACAAACATGTCTACTGCGGCTCACAATAAGAAACGCAGTCTGTTTTGGGAGAAATGTGCTGTATTTGCAATATGCTATACTTTACATCCAAGAATGAAGTAAAAGTATATTTCTTTTTTCAGTTTTATACCTGTAAGTTTAGTAAGCCAGGTTCCTGTTTTTGTTATTAAAAACTGTGCACATTTTGAATCTCTTTGAAAACAATGGAGGGAGAGGTATAAAAGGACTGAAGAGTGGGGAAGAGACATTCAGCTAATTGTCAATATTGCAACTCTTAATATGTTTCCAGTAATATAGCCCATTAAGTATCCTTCCACTACACCATATTTAAATTTATTTATTTATTATAATATGTATTTATGTCTCATATATTTACATTTATTTTATTTGTGTATTGTACCTATTTTTATATATATCTCTTTATGATGGCAAAAATCAGTTACAGCGCATGTAAGAGTCTAATTGTTGTACAGATAAGCTATACAGAGTGGTAAGATAAGGCATAACTTGGTGGCTGAATCAAATCAGGAGCAAAGTTTGATCAGGATGACCAAGGTGGAAAATATTTTTAATCATACACAGTGTCACAGTAATTATGTATTCAGAACACAAGTTTTGAGTAACTGTATGCTGGTGCAGTTGCTCTTTCATTTTGGTAGTAATTAGAATACAGTTCACGCAAAGTGAAAGTATTATGAGTATTCAGAACACAGTACTCTGATTGTACCATGGAACCACAGAATTTGTTTTAAAATCTATGATCAGTGTTGGGGAGAATACTTTAACAGAAATATACTGAAAATATATTTAATTACCAAATAACTGTATTAAAATGTCTTACATAATATCCTCTTTACAGTCATATTTGTTTGCTTGGTGCTGTTCCCAGAGGAATAGGCCAGGGGCGGTAAAGATCACTCAGCCTCCTATGAGAGCCAGGCCTGGTTGTACCGTCCCCTCATTGTTTCTGAATGAATGGTACTGTCTAATTACTGGAGCGGTGAAGGGGCCGCTGTGCCACCACCACAAAAGCCATGGACATAAAGGTTTGAGCCAGCAGCAAATCAAAGCCAAACGCTTATTACTGAAGAATGTGCTCCAACAAAGAGTCTCCACTGAGCACAATTAGACAAGAATGTGATGTCATTATTCAGCGGCCTCATGAATATTCAGACAGTTATCATTCACTGTGATGTATGTTCAGCTATGGGTTATGTATTCAGGAGTTATGGGATGGTACAAGACAGCCAGGCCAGCGAGCACAGAGACTGGAGTGGCATTGAAGAGAAGACAAACAAAAGAGACAATAGTAATTAGTTTAGCAGAGTGGCAGATGTAGTGGAGTGGTTTGTGCGTTCATCCACCAATGCAAAGGTTAACAGCTTGATGTGGCTCAGTTGGTAGGGTTTGTCCACTCATCCGAATGTTGAAAGTTTAAATGGCACTCTTGACATAAAAACATCAGTGGTCAGCTCCAGTGACCCACAGGTTCATAGTGTGATTCCAGTGGTGCCTTGATGTGAAGGGCTTTGAGTGCACTGAAGGTGGAAAAAGCTGAAATTATATATATAAATATATAATATATATATATATATAATGTGTGTATATATGTGTGTGTATGTGTATATATATATATATATATATATATATATATATATATATATATATATATATATATATATATATATATATATATATATATATATATAACATTATAGAGCCTTGTTCTCGCATCTCGCCCATTTGGTGGCTACAACAGATACCGGGAAAAACAACGGACATCTCAGTCCAGAAAAGTGCAGTACTGGGAACAGCAAAGATACTGCGCAGAACTATCAGGCTCCCAGGCCTCTGGTAGAGGACCCGAGCTGAATGAGGGTAAGAGAGACCTACCACCGTGGAAGGTGAGAAACACATTTTATTATATATATAATATATTATATATATACAGGCATTTAAATTCAGACCAGTACAGGAATACTCAAACATGCATGAACCAATCAAAATGTAATATGGTTGCATGGTTAAAAACAAAAGTTTATTTTACATCATGCATCCCCTTTAAAAATGATTCTTGCAAGAAAAATAGTCACTTGCACTGTTTTGGTGTGCCTCTGAATTAGTTGCACATAGCCCATGTGTCAGCAGCCTGGCTCAGACACCCTCAGTGATAATAATGTGAGAATAAAAGTCTGTCAGTGTGTGTCGTCATGGTAACGAGGAGCAGGGCCCAGACAAAGACCTGCCTGTATCTGTCAGACAGGCTCCAGAGCTGTGGAAATCTGCTGTGTGTGAACACAAGAGGACGATAAACTATCTAGAAGATAATATTGGAAGATACTATTGAGATTGTTCTGCTAAATATGAGTATCAAGTGTGTTGTTAATAACAAGAGTCAGAAATTGTCAAAAAGTTGTAAAAAGATCTGATCAAATTAAAAACAAACTTGCAATAAAATAACTCAAACAAAAGAAAATGTGCCATTTTTGGAATGCCTTGGATGGCATTTACATTTTATCTTGTATTTATTTAATTCAAAGTGCTTTTACGACTGATATTTAAAACATTTTATACACATTTTTGTCAACATTCCCAATGCCTAATCCAGAGCACACTTGAGAATGACACAGCAAACTGGGCTGCTATTGGATTAAAATGATGAAGTGAATCAAAATAGTTCGTGTGCAGTGGTGAGTTAGTTGAGAGGATCATATTTGAGCGGGTTAAGGACACTGGTCTTCTGCTGACACAAAGCTCTTAGTGTGACCAGGCAATGCCCCTTTTCTTCAGCTGCTCTCTCTCTTTGTTTATGTCTCAGTTGACATTTCTCTGCAGAAATAAAACATCTCTTGTGGAGTTTGTGGCCTTTGTCAAATAAGGACTTCTAAAAAACATTCAGAAAAGCAACTTACCAAATCAATGCTACACAAACCTGAAATGTTCTTAAGGATGGCATCAAACTTACCCATCTTTGTGGAAGCAGGTGACCCCACCAAGCCAGGTCACAGGTCAAATTTGTGGAAAGGCAACCCCATTTACACTAAGAATGTATGTTTTTTAAAATATTACAACTGAATAAACTTAAGGAAGTTTTGTGCAGTACCATACAATACAGCATTCCAAGCATAGTAATATTTCCAAACATTTGGCTGATCCCCCTCCAGAAAAGTTCTAGTGCACTTTTTAGATCATCAGTATTCTGTTATATGGAACCTTTGCAGACTTATTCCCTTTCAAATATATAATATTTAGTTTTAAATTGTTAATCACTATGGCAACAGTCTTAATAATTTTGAAACTCATATACATGGAAGCAAAACGTAGTTATGGAATTTATAATCTGCAAGAAGCTTAGAGTAGAGCCACTGCCCCTTCACACAGAGATGGCTTTGTCTACCCTTTAAATGCATAGAAACCGAGAAGCCCATGAAACAAACCAACCAAAAATTCAAGATTAGTAATGACAATCACAGATTTATGTTGTTTACATATATTTAATAACGTACTTTCAATCTTCTATGACTATTGTCCATTCATGACATTTCATTTTGCTTTAATGTGACTAAAAAACTATAAATAACAGACAAAATATGATTCACAATTCACATCAACAGCTAAATCTGCAGCGTCAACATTCTCAATATATTACTATACATTTGATACATCCTCTCAAAAATACAATAGAGACCTAGAGCAGCCAGGAGCTTTGTGCCAGTCTGCTTTCACACCTAATTAAACTGAGTAAGTGCTTTCTATATTACAGGAAGTTTCAAAATGTGATAATGGTTTAGGACAAAAAGTGTTGTGGCTACACTCTAAAAGTCTCTACAAGATGCAAACAATAAGTGCATAAGGACTTTTCCAAATTTTTGTGACAATTTGTTGATTGCCTTGGATGGACAAAAACTGGGGATGCACCGATATGATACTGGTGCCGATATTGAAAAATTTGATCTATTGGATATTGGTTCAGTGGATATCTTATTTTGGTTTATAAATTTGTGTAAGACGATTTACTGGACAATGTTAGCCCAAACACCTAGTAGTGTGTCTCAAACTGATTCTGTAGTTACTTAAAATGATAAATAACAGTTATAAAACACATTTGGTTATTTTTCTCTTACCATATGCCATGTGTATAAATTATAGTTTTACTTTATTTGCTCTTAGCCCCACTTTCGGTTGATATCGGATATACTTAGAAACTTAAAGCCAAAGTATCAGCATCAGTATCCAAACTGAAGAAGCTGAATCGGTGCATCCCTAACAAAAACATATCATTTAAGTGAGTTAATTAAAAATAAAATACTAAATAAATTATGTTACCTAAATATGTGCGATTTCATTCATAATTCTTGTAAACAATAGCAGGACGGTTGCCTTTGAAACTTGCATATCATCAATTCAAGTCAACTTTCTATATGACTTAATATCTTAGCAAACACTTTGCCCTCAACAGTGCGTCCCAACAGTGGAATAGGCTGTTGTGGAAGGGGCATCTCTGCGAATGGTGTTGTACGGGGATAGTTCAAGCTCAGTCGCCGTGCCATCATTTTCACTTGTTGTTGCGGGGGATCTTTCTGGCCCACAATCCTCCAAACAGCAGCAGCAGCAATCCAAAATCGCCCTGGTGAACGGTTGGCAAAGACAAAACAACAAAACTGGTGTAACTGCGGACTTACAGAAAAGCATCAACTGGCTGACCAATTTCAATATCTCCAATGTCCTACGAGGAATACCGGCAGCCATGTACGTACTCAAGATGTTACAAATGTTTTCAGGAATTATGCAAAATCCGTATAGAATCGCCAAAGCAACCACGGCGCAATTCATCTGGCTTTCGAGCTGGATTTGCTTCTTGCTACCCCTGACGTTGTTGCGTTCGGCCTTGCGGATCTTATGCGCTGTAGCGAGCGAACAAAAAATGGTAAATAGAGTCGGTAAACAGAAATAGCAGCCGAAATACCACCAAAGTCTTGCACCATCGTAGGTAAGACCCAAGACGTACAACGTGTCTGGGAGGTCCGTGGAGATTCGGATTACGCAGCGCTCGCATGGGGTGGTGACTTCGGGGGGATCTGTCTCTTCAATGACCAGTTGCCGGATGAGTAATTCTGGGAGGGCGAGGAGGAGAGCCCCGATCCAGATGACAGCAAGCTTGGCAGTGGTGGAGGCCCAGTTCTCAATCATCTCGTAGTAGTTCTGAACATTGTTGGCAGCACGGAAACGGTCGATGCAAAGAGCGCACAGAGTGAATGTGGTGACTCCCAAAGAGGCAACCTAAAAAAATAAGAGGAAGAGAGGTTATTGAGTTAGCAGAACAATCTCTTAGACTGCATTCACACTAGGATAAAACTAGGACTGAACACATAATTTCATCTGAACTAGCCCAGAACTTGTGGAAACGGACCCCAATTGAAATGTACATAAAATACCATTTGGGTTGAAGGTGATAAGTGGTTTAAATGGGACTAAAGTTGCCAGCTGTTACCAAGACATGTTTTTACTGAATTTGAGCTCTAGAATTATCAAAGTAAAGAATTTTGAGCTCTTGACACTGACTAAAAATAGCTGAAATGTGCACCTATGAGGCCGGTTATGTTGCTGATGATGGAACATGGTTAAAAGTCGGTTTGTCATAATATGGCCTTAATTTCAGATGACTTTATTCAGCTACAACCGAGAATTTGCACCTTACATTTTACTTGTAACCCCTCAAAGTGGCATGGAGGACATGAATGAAAAGTCAAAATCTGGCCTAGAATAGAAAAAACTATGCCACATTTACCAACATACACACTGTAGCTAAAATAAATAAATAAATAAATAAATAAAAATAAAAAAACAAAGTTGTCCAAATGAATATCTGCAATGTTTTACAATCATGCACAATCATTTTGTAATTAATGTGGCAGGGACCTAAAAGTGAATTGCAGGAAACTTGTCAGTGGGCTGTATACCATCTCTGACCCACTGCTGAAAAAAAGTTTTAATGTTTTTTATAATCAGCCCTATGATCAATCCAAGAATGAGTAGAACACTGAAATAATACTGCAGTGTTCCTTTTTGTCAGTATCACTCACTCGTAAGTAGTGCACAAAGCTCTGATTGTGACCATTTTATTCTAAGGCGGTGCCTGAAAGTGATGTAGGTTAATGCACTGACCCCTTAAGTGTTGGGGGTGGGACGCTCCCATTAGATCTATAATCCTCCTCATGTTTTTGATGAGATTATGGTCCTTTTAAATCACAAACACAGCACTTGTGTGGGTTAAAACAAAGTCAGTACAGTACAGATGATGCAGAGACTGAACATTATCAATATCAAACATAACTAATCCATACTTTCTAATGGTATAGTGCTTATAGTGGCTTTTTCTTGAGCAGTGAGTAATTCTGTCGCATCAGCACTCAAAGTAGAATACCAGACAGCATCATCACTTAATAAAGCTCTCACAAAATCTCAATAGACTGACTGTTATTGAAGTATGCATATATCAAAATATTGTTTAGTTGTACCTGTTTTTGACTGTCACTTTTACTTAAGTACATGAAAAAAATATGCAGAGTTAATTATAGTTGTAATAATAGTAGGCAAGCAGGTTAGTAGTGGTAGTTTAGCACTGACTGTAACTGCAAGTGATTTGTAGTGGTAGTAGTGGTAGTAGCATTAGCCTAAGTACTTTTAACAATGTTTACAATGAGTAGACCTGCACAGCATGTTTAGGCTGAATTGGATAGAGCTGATGTTAAGTCTCTAAATGTTTTGGACAGAGAGAAGAGTCTTACAGCCCAAAGTCAATTTCCCCCTAAAAATCCCAGTCCCCCATGCCCCTCATAAAGCCCTTTTACTGGTCCCTTATTGGACGGTCTCTGGGGGGGGTCCACGTCTTATCCCTGAGAAGTCTGGAGATTAAGGACAATTCACATTTACTGACATCAGATCAGATTTAGATACAAGATAAGGTTAAACAATCTAGACAAGGTTGGACAAATGTCAGAAAATGTATAATAGTTATTCAAAATTAAGTAGGCTATGTATTTTTGATCTATTAGTATAAAGTGACATGGAAGATTTGTGCGATAGGCTGTTGCTGTAGCAACCTATAGCCTGTGGAAACTTTTGCTGAGGTACAGGGTTTGTTCCAGGAATTGGGGAATAGAGATGGTAGTATGAAATCCAATTGAAGTAGGGTACATTTAGTGTAAGCATTGTTTTTTTTCTGTTTAGATTCAAGCTTTGTTGCTATTCACTCTGACCAGTACTTCCGGACTAATAAAGTGATTAAGCCCAGCAGATGAAAGGAGAAATACAGGAAAACTTGACCACATACAGTATTATTAAAGATGCACTGTGTTATTTAGACTCCATGGAGATGTTATAGCTTTGGCTGAAATGTTCCACTGTATGGCATTACACTTATATTTCTAGCATTTATTCAGTTACATCTGTTTTTATTGTAAATGTAACCTTTCTAAATGTGCATTCTTGCCATCTCCATAGATCTGACCCGTTACCTGGCCTTGAGCAGACATGTCCAAACTATGGCTCGTGGGCCAAATGCAGCCCTCAGACATTTTTTTCTTGGTCCTCAGGCTTCCAGGAGAATTGGCCCAAATGACCTTGCATCAATGAAAATTAACTTTTTATTGCAAGTTTTTTGAAAATCTACCTTAAAAAGCCAATATTTAATATTTAGTGTGTGGTTTTAAGGATCTTGGCATGAATAAAGACTGATGGGTCATTCTAATGTGTTAAACATGCACATATTTCAATTACTGACTGTACTGAGAACCAGTCTACGGTCCTTGATCGGCCCTCTGCTTCGTCTGTGTTTAGATATGTGGCCCTTGATGAAAAAAGTTTGGACACCCTTGGCCTAGAGGAATTCATAAAGATAGACAAGTTAAATACCTTACTGTGCCTTTCTGCAGGCAAAGAAAAAGATCTCCATTAAAACAATTTACCAACATACATTAAGTAGCTGGCCCTCCACCAAAAATTACATAGTGCACCTTTAATGTGCTCTGTTCAACGTATGGAGCGTGCGTAACTTTTTACCAAGGTCACAACGTTTGTCCATTTTGAAACAGGGGAGACTCTCCAAACGTGTCTCCTTGTTTACATGATCTAAACATCAGCCTATTCAAACCACTCTCTCGCTCACCTCCAAATATGGGATGATCCTGCACGAGAACTCCCCCAGCAGCCAATCCTTGGTGAGCTCGTGAAACACCACCAGCGGAAGGCAGAAGAAGACCACCACGAAATCCCAGAGCGCAAGGTTGGCGAGGAGCGAGTTGGAAATGCTTCTCATGTAGTAGTTATGACACACGATACACATCAGCGATACGTTACCGATGATTCCCACGCTTAAAATGAGCCCGGCCACTATCAGCACTGCGTAAGCCCCGTATGTCTCTACGGTCACGGGGTAAAACGGGTTTTTGTGTAGCTTTCGTTTGGGTTTTAGGCTAACTGGGGCCAGGGGAGTGCTGTCTGGGAAGTCTAGGGAGAATCCGTCCTCATAGTCGCTGGTGTTGAGTAGAAATGGAGAGTCCATCTCCTGCGCCATCGCAACAGGTGCGCTCTCTCCATCCGGCTCTTTTCGCTTCTTACGACTGGTGCTTGGTCTTTTTTGCTTCAAGTTTTGTCTCGAACTCCCTTTGCTAATGTTGCGAAATTGTTTATCATGCTTCTCTATTTTTCCAGTAAGTCCAACATTCTGTGGAGAGCTATCATTGCTGTTCACTGTGCGTAATGCGTCTCTTCCAAAGATTCCACTTTTACGCACAGAGTTTTGAACACTCCGTTGTCTCAAAACTTTCACCTCATCAAAAGCTATCGCCTGGACAGTTGGAGCACGCTCCTCTGGCGCGTCCTCTCCGCTGACACTGCCCCATTCAGGGCTTTGAACTGTAAAAGAGTCATACTTGTTTTGTAGCTCGTTCAATTGTCCCGTTATGGCTTCGCTACACAGCCACAAAGATAATAGTTTAAGGACTAGGTACAGCATGATGTGGGTCTAAAAAAACCCGTTTATAGATTACAAAATGACGCTTACATTATCGGTTAACGCGATCAGACGGGAAAACAGCCAACACCGTCAGATGTTTGGGAGTTTTTGTGCTGTAGTCGATGCGTCCTGGCGCGGTTCCCGTTAGCAGTCATTACGTAAAAAAAAAACCTTACATTCCATAAATAATGTAATGTCAAGTCCTAATTCTACATACACCCATGAAGATAGCGGAAAATGTTTGTACAATCGTAGTTAAAGTTGTCTTGGCTTTGAGAAGAAGGATGCGTGCACAGTGGCCACAGAGGAGCGTCTTAGCGCACAGACTGTGGGAGGATGAGTGGGCGGAGACTTGTGTCAAACTCAGTCCATCATTCATCTCTTGTCCCAGCTTTAAGCTTACAGTGTGGTCACATTTTAGAATACACTGACCAGGGATGCTATAATAAACATGACATTGAGAATATCCAAAACAAATTTATAAATAATACATGGATATTAATGCCGCAATGTGGAACATTCCAGGCAAAGTAACAGCACAGAGACGATTCTTAGTTTGTGTATTACAGTCCCACTAACTGCATTAATGATTTAGTTTCACTTTAAGTTTGAGGATGTTTGCCTCCTGGTGTGCAATTTGTGCCACTACAAAAAGCTACAAAGCTACAAAGATGTTAACATTATTTCATTTAATTTATTTACAGAGAAAAGCATCATAGCATATTTTTTTGCAATTATTATAATCCTTTGACCTCCAAGTGAAGGTCACGCGGGGTCAGGCTCAGGACTGGCTTTAGAGAGAGTGGTGTGGCAAATCTGATAAACAGTCTCATTACTGCCTCCATCATCTTTGGTCTGATACGACACAAGGCACATGTCCAGCCACGGACGCCGAGCTGGCAACAAATGATAAAATGAATTACTTTAAAATGCATTTAGAGAGTACAAGCTATAGCACAAATATAATATATACCTTTGCTGCCCTCTGGTGGACACAGAGAGTTCATAGTCTGACAGATGTGGTTCTGGGCTTCCTGACTGGACGCTGCATCAGCTGCAGAGACGTTGAAGAATAACTCCTGAGGATCAAAAGATAACAAAAAGAGACTTAAAGGTGTACTATGTAACAATGATTGGAATGTTCCACAATAATGCATTACTGGTATTAAAAACTATCTATTCTATCTATATAGATACAAGCACGTGACAAGATATTTTTGGACATTAAAACATTTTAAGATAAATAATTTTAATATCATACTGTAGAACATCCATATAGATCATAAATGTGACATCACTTTAGGACTGTCAAAAGGTTTTTTGTTTTTTCTGTTGTTGCAAGATTTAAATCATCCATGCAGTGAGAAATTAAAACTAAATTAATATTCACTTGGTTTGACAAATAAATACCTCATTGGAAATATATTTTAATCCGATATTGAAAGAAAAAGACAAATATTCACCTGAGTTTTTACAAATCTTTAAGTAAGCTGCAGTTCTTGTGAGCAGCGAGCGAGACATTTTATCTCAGTTTCACAGATTCAGCGACTCCGGCTGTTTTCTGATCTACATTTCCCTAAAAGCCCGCAGTCAGTAGATTTCTAGCGCAGTAAAAGCCCCTCTCAGATGATTGTATCAGAGTAAAGTGGGCTAAATGGGATGTGACTCACTGCGTCTCTCCACAACAAGACGTCCAGAGAGCCAGAGGAGTCCTGTAGCTCCAGCCTCAGCAGCAGCACGTACCGGAGCAGCTCTACACCCAGGGCTAAAACAAGCAACAACAGTCACACACGTGTTTAAAACAGCAAGGGATTCAAATGGGGTGAGACTGGGGCAATTTACACAGAATCTGTCATGATTGTTTAAGTGTTCCATGTAGGGACAATTACTTGTATACTGCAAGGTTTAATAAAGTATCAATCTTGCAATAATGGACTCCCTAGCGGTATTGACAGAAATTTATTTCACTGGGTTATGAATATATTACTTTTGGATATCAGATAATAAAAAGCATCTGTATGCCTTTCATAGTGTATAGAACTAATCACTTGTTTTGCTCCGCTTATGTTCGGTTTCTCTCCTAATCTCTACACAGCAAAAAAGTGTATAACCAATTAGCAATAATATTTTACAAACAGTTCTGTATTCTTGCAAAAAAAAATGCAACTGAAGGGTATACAATGAAATCAATATTTCAGGGTCATATGAAAATTTCAATTCCATGCCATCCCTAAAACTTCCTTGACAGTTTTGTAGAATACACACTTCTCCAATACTTTATGAAGATTCTGCAGAATTACTGAGCAAAGCACTAAACTCTAATTAAACTGACCTTCTGCAACTAACTGCCCAGAGACCTCCTCCACCCCTTCCACACTGGGCTCCCTCACAGCAGGATTTGAACACTTTTTGCACCTAAAGACACAAAACACAAGAAAAATTAATAAGTATGATTAAATATTTCAAAATAGGTTATTAAGTATTATTTCTGCCCAAGTAATATTTCTGCCCAAAAATTTCTATTTAAAGTAAATTGGACATTGAAAAAGCAGATAAGACATTACCCATAGAATCTCCTTCTGCCTCTGAACAGGACAGGGGCAGACAGGTCGAGCAGAGTCAGCTGACCTCCTGTAGACCGCACAGGGACGATGTTCAGGTAACTGGCTGAGAGCGTCTTCACCTGAGCTAGACTTGCACCTAAGAAAGGACCACGTGCTATTTATGCAGTCAAAAACATCTAGAAAAATAAATAAATAAAAAGTGAAAACGCTTTATTGCAACCACAGCTGCCCCAGGGTAGACAGGTGAAAACATGGCTGTTAGTTACCCTGCAATAGCCTTTCTGGAGACATTCATACATAGACAAGGTGGAAGAAGTGTCAAAATACAATAGTAGGAGTTAGGATTTAACACATTAAAGCTCTAACCACTGAGCCACTGCCACTATCCTTCAAGAAGACCATAAATTACCCCTTACCCTTGAGGAACATGAGCTGCTTGTTCTTGCCCTCGGACATGAGCTGAGAGGAGAAGTACAGGCTCAGATCGGAGGGCCCTGCAGGTTCAGAGGGCAGCTGCACCTGTCCGGACAGGGCCCAGACAGGAGCAGAGCACGGCCCCATGTCGTGGGACGCTGCAGAAAACAGGCCTAACACGTGGTCCTCATCTGGGAGGTCCTGCCTGGAGAAGAGGAGAAGTTTTATTGAGAAACATGTCACTTTTTATCACAATCTTGTATTCACATTTATGTAAAATCATTCCTCATCCAATACTAACTGTATATGATATTCAGCAAAAAAAACAAAAAAAAAAACATTAAGCGTATGCATTATGTTTCAAAGGTGACAAATGTAAACCTAAATGTGGAAAGATAGGAATTGCAGAGTGACATAAAGAAGATATATTTGCTTCTGGTACTTAGTAAAGAAACACAGTTTTAATAAAGGACAGTCCCTTTAGATGCATCATTCTTTTTCGAGGGGGAAATTTCACAGTAGCTAGCAGTGGATTTTCAGTTACGTGTTGTTTTTGAAAAATGCCTACACAACATTTTTGAACCCTACGCATATGACCTGGAGTCAACTTTTCTGGAAAAAACACACGCTAGGTAAAAACAGAAATTTAGCTGAGCATTCAAGGCAGGATCAAATCAGGACAATACAGGATTATACAAACAGCCTTTTGTAACGTGGTTAAAAGCTCATGAAAATGATTTTGCATTGTATGTCTCATTTAAACAGATATTTTTATAAACTAAATATTTCCTAAACTGGCTACATTTTTACACATCTGCCAAATACTTAATCTTGGGTGGAATATTTGAATAATTTTGTACACACATGGTGGAGCACTTGTCACAGAAGAGTTTGAGGCTCTGGTGCAGTTTCTGGGGCTGGTAGGACTTAATCTGGACTCTGACATGATGGACTTGACCTGGATTTGACCTTTTGACCTCAGACAGGGTCACAGAGTCAAGGTTGTGCCTACAGGTTGTTTCTGCACACAATGAGAAGAAGAATTGCAATAACAAAAACAAGTACAGTGGTTACAGAGCAGATATCAATTCTAAAACAATTATTAATATTATAGGTTGTTTTTAGTTCAGAATGTGATGGCGTCACACACTCAGATGAGGATAGTACTGTTGTGTTTGTACTGTATTTGTGCCTCATAGGAAGTATTGTGGAAAATTGTGTATGCTGGTTTTAAAATCCATGGTCTCACATTACCAAACCAAAAAAAAAAAACCTTAATAGACCTATATGTTATAGGCTATTATTACTTTTAGAGAAGGCTAATAAGAAATGTCAACTGGTTTTGGTGTGATGGAAATTACCTGTGATGCTGTCAGTTGACATAGGCATAGTATCTGAAATGAAACGAAAGAAATATTGCTAAAACACTTCTTTTTATACTGGAAAATTAATCATTAATATTTAGTGCACCTGTTTTGTGTCTGTTTTACTTTAGATGACATCATAAACTAATTTCACTACAGCAGCTAAAAGGGTCACTATGCAACATTTTGGGTCAAGAATCTGCATCCTACTGTGTTCCAATCAAATGTTATTGCTTCACCAGGAATGTTCCACAGTACGGCATTAAACTTGCCATGTAGACAAGCATATAACATCATGAGGCCAAGTTACAGATTAGATCTGTGGAGAGGCGTCGCTGCTCTTACAGTACAAATACCATTTTTATTCCTTTATCAAAAAACACCTTGTTTCAGTTTAAGTGGACGCACAAACACTTACAAACCCTCCGTGCATCGCTGTCAGACAAAGTGCAGGCCTAATATTTTGTCTGGTGAAGTGAATTTTGTGCAGACATTACGCCCACAGCCTGCAGGGGGGGCTGTGACGGAGAACAGATGAGAGTTTCTTAAATAAAAGCTGCGGGCCACGCACAGGGCTGGACTTTTGATTTGATCCCACTGAAGCGTGGAGCTCTTAGACAAACAGCAAAACAGCGAACAGTAGAGTCCCCGCGGCCCACTCTCACCGTCATGTCCGTCTGAAGTGAGTTTACACAGGCTCCCGGCGTCGTACCTCTCCTCTCTCTTTCTCTCTCTCTCTCCCCCCTCCCACACACAATGTCTTTGTGTTTAGAGTTTGATTTAACTTCCTCCTAAAAGTCACCTGCAGGGATTTGTGACTCAGGCTGCCATACATAGATAAATGTCTATTTCTTGGTATATTCAGGCTTTTTATATGCACAGAAATTGGGTTATTTAAGGTGGTGGAGAGATACTATCAAAGAAGTAGTTGGTGCAAAATTTTAATATTGTTAACAAAGTGTGTAGTCTAAGAACGCTGTCAAAATCTTAACCTTATACATATAAGGGCTGTGTAATTAAACAGTCATCTTGTCACTGATCTTTTTAATGGGTCTAGAGTCAATTCTGTCAGGATGTGGTTTGGAGTTTAGACTGTGAATGTGAAAGTAATTTAACTATTTCTTTTTTTTCCTTTTTTTGTCTTGTTTGTGTTCAAGAAATTAATACTGAAAACCATTTTAATTTGTTTTCAATAAGAAAAAAATCTAATAGATCAAACATCAATCAAAGAAGATGGGAAAAAAGTGATTGCTAAATAATCTTCCAAACAAGGGTACAAGGTAATATTTCTGCACATTTTCTGCATAAAATGTCCATTTTAAATTTAAAGTTAATAAATTTTCTTGTGAAAGTTGACCCATAAACAAACTATTTAAAGGCACTCTTCTGAAGGATTGGAAAAATATGATTATATGATGTATCCTTACGTGTAACTATCAGAGGGGTATTTGAATAATCCACTGAAATGCCACATTTACATATGAATTGAATATGAATCACTTATGATTTAAGCACTGAATCACAGGACAGTGCAGTTTGAATAAGAAATAATAGCTGCCATAAATGCATATATCATGATAAGCTTACCACTCGTATAGACATACTTATAGACTCAGGTGGGGTACCCCAAACCTCCATCATGGCAGAGTTGTCTTCTTCTTGTATAAAGCCTTCAATTACCCTATGGGGAAAACATTCAAATTAAAAACGTGCATAACCCTCAACACAGAAAGAGCCAAAAACATGCATAAATAAATGAACTTTTATAATTATGTCCCACTTTTAAATAAATGTCAAATAGCTCAGAGCAAACTCTAATGGAAGCCTATTACCTAAGCTCCTTTCTGGCCTCGTTGGTGCGAGTTATGCCTGCAGCTCAGAGTGGCAGGGACAGCTCCAGCCCGAGAGAAAACCCTGATTTAATAGTGTGTCAGCATGAGTCAGCCTCACAACATATGGACACACTGTGCAGATATGTCTATAAAACTATGACTATATGCTTAGAAATGACCCCTGACATGAGACAACCACTTTTAATGAGAAAGGCCTGGGGTCATTTTGAACCAATAATAATACATCTTACGTAAATAATATGTTTTTTAATAGTAAGTGGTGTATTACAACATGAACCATCATTTAGATTAACAACATATACACTGTTATATACATGTTAAAAGTTCATTTTGATCAGACAGCTGATCACAAACTACTATGAGAATAAGAGAAAAATGTTTCATAACCGCAATCTTCCTAATAACAACCCAAATTTAACAATCCCAACCTAGTGTGATCTGAGCAAATGGACATTTATATTTATATTTAAATACAGTGTGACTGCTAAATCTTACAACAAGAGAGTATGACCGATTCGTATAGAATTGTTGAAGGTGCATTATGAAAGTTTTTGGTTGGAAGGTATGTCAAATACTTGTCTTTCTTTGCCTAGAATCTGGGTCTCCATGAGGTTAAACAGGTGATGCCACTAGAACAAGGTACTGGTCAGATGGAGGGGCTACCCTTTTCAGAGAAGTATTATTTCAGCAATACAAACAAACATATTAAAATAAATACAACCTACACAACTATATGTCATTGTGGAACATTCCAGGCAAAGCAATAAAATCTCAATGGAGACAGGTGTATAATTACTATATTATAATATTTTAAACTACGATCTTTAAATGTCTTAAGAAAAGACAAATGTCTAGTGTACCAAACAAGGTTATGAAGTAATATTTCTGCCCATGTGTGGGTAATTTTATGATTTATTCACATTTTGTGCTTGACTTCAACCAAGACAGTGCTTCATTTTAGCACATTTCTGATGCATTGTTAAAATATTTTCTGGATATTACCAGGATATTCCTTTTTTGTCAATTCCGCGCTCCTCTATATACCAGTTAACATACCTCTTGAGCTCTTGCACAGCGGAGTTGGTTTGGGGCAGGACCTTGATGCCTCTCCCGTAGGTGGTGCCCCCGTGCAGGTGGAAGGCCAGGTGGTCCTGCTCCGCAGGATGGCTACACGCCACCCCCGGGACTTTATTGGAGCCTGGAAACGCCCTCAAATTATAGATCCTCAGGAAGTCTCCAGGCTGAGGGCAAACACACAGAAATAATAAGAAAACTGGTTCATTTAGAGTTCATTATTTTAATAGTTTGAAAATAAATAAATACAAAAAGCATCAGGTGAAAACAGATGACAAAATTAGTAATTAAGTTGGGTTGGGACCTTTTCAAAATTTCACCATGAGCTGCAAATATGACAATCACTTTCATTTTAAAATTCTTGTAGTTTGACATATTTTAGCTCTATGGCTCGACTAGACTCACTTTGTTGCATTTCAATTTTTTTATATATACATTTTTTTATCCATGGTATTCAGAAAGATTGGCACCATTACCTTAGAGATTTATTGCTCAAAACAATGTATTATACCTTATAAAGAAGTCCTCAAAATGTTACTCTTAAACCTTTTGAACCCTGTATTCTTAGCCACTCTACCCTCCAGTAGATGGTGCTGACGGCCTGTTTATCCTTCTCCCCCCTCACACACACAGGCGCCTCTTGGATCTTTTCTTGTGTTTCTTTTTTTTTTTTCTCTCCTCTCCCCTCTCAATCACGACGAGCCTGCAGCTGACACAAATGTGCCCGAGCTGTCATCACGGACAAACACTCACTTATCAACTGTCACACCAATCCAGAAAACTCACTCAAGCTTTCCAATACTCAGTATATGACCATCATTAGCCTGTCGCAACAAGCTCAAATAAGACTTTTAATTTGATTACATGGACAGTCAAAGTGCTTTCTCCATAGGGTAATAGGCTGACTTTAAATCCCCTTTTCTATGGATCTGGAGTGGAGCTTGAGTCGGTGCCAACTGCAGATTAACAGCTGATCTCTGGAGGCTAAAAACTGGGAGCACTGGGAAAAGACCATTATGACTAGGCCTATATATCCCATTACAGAAATAGTGCAAGAAGAGCTGAGACTGTCTTTATTTATGCAGTTTTCTTCCAGGGTTGAGCATTCACCTCCTACTTAGCATGCAACTTTTACATGCTAATCTGGAAGACTGGAGTTTAAAGGTCCTATACTACACTAAATTGACTCTTTTAGTCATGTTAAAATGCTGTGACCTCATTGAAAATATACTTGGAGTTACAACCCAAATAGTGGATTTAAGCAGCCCTACAATTTGAAGACAAGTGTATTGGTGATAAATTATTTTGGATAAACCTCTGCGTGCTTAAGAAAACAATTTGTAGGTGTTGAGTGGATGTGAGATTTGCACTCTGAAAAATTAGGGCTGATGATTGTTTCTTTTTTGTTTTGAGTACTTTTAATTCCAAAGAACTTAGGGCTACCGTCCGTAAGTTTATTTGATTTTTCTTGACCTGTAGATGGCAGATGTGAATCCTGTTCCTCCCTCTCTCCTCTCCTCACCTAGCCTTTGTTCAGACTCACCTGTGCTGGTCTTCTTCTGTCAGCCCAAATCTGGCCCACTATCTGACAGAATCAATGTAGATAGTATCTAGTGGTGATGTGTGAGAATGCAACATGGCTGGGGAAGCCACTCTATTTATGGACGGTAACTTTAAATGAAAAATTCAATAAGCCACAAAGGGCCAATAGTTACAGCAGTTTTCATTATCGAGGAGAAATTGAGATAGAGAGGGAACGGTACAGCTGCAACCCAGGACAGGGTACAAAGAAAACTGTAACACAGAAACCAACAACAATATTTTAAACAGTGTCAAAAAGTTATCATATTAGAATCCACTATTGGGCAACCACAAGTGTGCTCGTAAGCTTTAATGGCTGTTTAGATCTCAACCACAGTCCTGGCAGTGAAAATGATGACCTGAGCTTGTCCACCTCGATCAGCAGAAGATTGTGAAAGATGGCAGCAAGCACTTCACATTATGATTGATGGGAGAGATTTTCTAAACCACAATACTCGCAAAATCTCAAGAGAACCAAACTTCACCCCAGAGGTAATACAGAAAAATTATTACAGCAGGTAACACGGGGAAAGCAACTGTGATCAAGCTAAAGGAACCCCAAGAACCCTGGAAATATATGATAAAAACAGAAGAACTCTTTAAAACCAATTAATGTAAGTGACTATATTTATGTGCCTTTCCATGGAGATATTAATCCTTTGTCTGTTCCGCAGGACAGACCATCTAAGAAAATTAGAATATCATGAAAACGTTCAATATTCTTTGTCACTCATTTCAGAAAGTCAAACCCATATATTATATAGACTCAGACTAGAGTCTATATAATATATTGGTCTGTAAAGTGTTATTAAAATTTACCTTGAAAATCATGCATTCTTATGTGAGAGGGGTCATCTTTTCCACAGATCTGGTGTTTAACTTGGTCCTGTAGAGCTTGTCTCCAAGGAGATAGATAAGTTTAATGCCATATTGTAGATCATTCCAGACAACCAATAACATCTCAGTACGGACAAGCATAACATCCATTTGAACATCAGACAAGTACAAATCGTCACATCACTAATAACAATAAAATAAAATAGTGTCCAATTCTGCCCCAGTCTCAACTGTATCAATTAACAAATAGTTGAATAGTTTCAGTGGTAACTTACAAACAAACAACAGGTTGAACTGTAAGTAACTTAGATTTCTTGACATATTACATTTAAACAAGGACTTGCAGGCTACACATCATATTTCTTTTCTTTTCTTTTTTTTTTTAAACATTGAGGGAAGTGTGATTAGTATCTAATATAGCTAATATGATAATGGTGATAATATGTAGTCAAGGTAATCGACTTAACATTCACAAATAGATTGCTAAGCAGGTATAGTGTTGTTTATACTGGCTGCTTTTACTCAAGTAGTTCTGTCTGCTTATAACAGTGCTTGAACTTGAAGAGACTGTGGTGAAGGCTGGTCCCTATTGGCCAGGCACAGTGGCAGGTGCGTGTACTGACAGGACAGGTGTAAAAAAAAAAAAAGCAGCAGCAGCAGTAGTGTAGTATCAGTGTCTGAGTCATCTGATCAGAGCCAAGGCCACAGCTTCAGAAGGCCAGGGCCCACTCCTTCACAGAGCAGGAGCCTTGGCTACATGGAAATGTGCTCTTTCATGATTTATGTAAAGCTCAAACCAAGATACAGGCTCAATATCCTCCAGACTGACTAGAAATGGTGGGAAAAATCTTTTTTACAACTTCTGACTTATAAAAAAGGTTTTTGCTATTTTGCTGTACCAACTCCCATGCAGTATTGTACTTTCATAGTTGGATAAAATCTATTTTGCAAATCAGAATTGAAATCATAATCAGTAATAATATAACACCTTCTAGCACATTTAACTGTAATGTTGAGCTCAGAGACTTACCGTAAAAGATTTTTTTCCCTGTACAGATACTGCTTATTGTACAAGCAGCCCTTGAGGTCAAAATAAGTCCACTGCATCTAATTTGAAATCATTTTGTTGTACAACCACTAAAATCTTCTCAGTTCTTTAACTATTGCCAAAAATCCTTCCTTGTTAATTGGAAATCCTGTAAATCCATAAAACCCCCTGGAAAAACCTACTAACTCTTCTGAAAAAAACACTTCCGATTCATTTTCCATCTGATCTCCTACACTGATTTTACCGTATAATATAAACAGGAAATCAAGTACCTCAATTTCTGTAGTTAACCCAAGTTTAGCTTTTTCCAACAGTAAAATCCTTAATTAACCTTCATTCACATTGTGTAATAATTAATCACATCTCAAGTATTTGAGCCGCTTTATGAAAACTAACTCTTAATGATAGTAAAGTTAAAGTGACATAAACACTTTAAACTGAGGTTAATGTTTTTGAAGTGTAGAATGAATTAAAATGACTTCATTTTACTTCTAAAATTGTCACAATATAGATTTAGTTAGTTTGTTTGATTAGATTGTCACTTGAATAATCATGACTATCAGTTCACCAAATTATCTTGACATGTGCTTAAAGTAGTAAGATTAGATAAAATAAGATGCAATGAAAACATTTTCTAATGATAGTATGAATGAGGCACACAAACAGGCAGTTATATTGGTTGTTATGGAAACATGCATAAAAGTCAGAACAAATCCCGAAGCACTGGCCAATTCTATCAATAGACTGGAGGTACTTTTAGAATAATGGACGCATTATATCCATCAGCGTGTGACAGGAGGCATTGAGGGGCCGTAGGAAACATCCGCTCTGAGAGCCATCACAGAAAAATGGATCCCTGGAGCTTCCTGGCTAACAACCCATTTTGAAATAAAAAGGCTGGGAACAGACAGGCTCGTGGCTATGTAGGACTGGATGTATATGAAATTTTAAACAACTAATAATGAAGTAAAAATTCTTCTGTACAGCAAAAACACTACTCTAAAGATATATTACATTGCAGTGTATAACTATGACGGGTGAACAAGTATAACTCAAGTCAAGAAGAAAAAAAGAAGACTGCAATCTTGTTGATAATTTGAGTAAGTCTAATCAGAAGGTTTTATTGCCATTGTCAGCACAAAAAATTCAAACTAGGAACTTGCTTTGGTAGTTTGGTGAGTAATAAATAGATATTGTTCTTATAGCAGTATCCAGCAGACCATCCACTGCAAAGTGAGAGAGATGTTTTGCTCAAAACACAACAACAGCACTGGCATTGTTAGGATTGAACCACCAACACAATGATTACAAGATGACGCCTCGACTGTCTAAGCCACTGTCTGAGCCGAAAAATATGAATGAATGTAATAAAGAGGAGTTATGAATGGGCATGTTTTGGCCAATTGTTTTCTAATGCATCAAGTAAAGACTATCACCATTGGCTGTTGATGCGCACAGCCTATCAAACCCTTTTAGTACAACATAGCCTCAGACTGGGGCGGCCTTTGGCTACTTCTGTGAGTGCACAGTCTGAGAATAAAAAAACAAACAAACAACTAAACGTAACATGTGCCCACCGCCCCAAAGCATTGCACTACCACTGCTGCTGTCTCATAGTATTAGCACTGCCCGGATGCTCACTGAAAAAGGGATTCCTTAAAATTTAAAAGATGGCTTTGGGCTTGCTTTGCTCTTCGTCAA